CAACCTGCACAATGGTGACAAAATGTTGATCGTATTTCTCCTCTATCAGGGTGATGGGCAGTAGAAGCAGGTCATACCTGTTGAGGTACTGGGGCAGAAAAAGTCTGAGAGTCATTGATTTTAATAAAGTCTGGTATTCGTTGTAAGAGTAGAGATGTTTTATGACACTTATTAATTACATTTAGGATATACAAACACTATTGAATAGAATCATGAGTTCTCTCTTTTTTTTTGAGTTCTCATTATATCGAAAGAGAAATGATAAACACGTTGGTTGTCATTTCTATTTCAATAAGGTATAACAATGGTGCATGTGGGAAAAAATTAAAGTCCAAATGAATAGTGCCATCAAATCAAACTGCAGCTCAATCAAACTGATGATCCTGACTACTCTACCCACCTCACTACAAATGGATTTAGAACATAAATCTGAATATATGTTTTTATAGTTATGAAAATTACCTCAAATGAATTTTTTTCTCTAGTTTTAAAAATGCATTTTCAGTATGCCATATAAAAGGCAATACTCTATAAAGTTTATGACCTGCTATAAACGAAGATAAAGTGTAAAGATCAAAAGAAGAAAATACTAAATTAGCTCCGTCAGCTGAACAGTTTTATGGCCTGGGCAGGATATTTTTCACATGGCTGTTAAAAAGCATACCTGATGCCACAGGTTCTCAAGAGAAACACTGAACTCACACCAGTAGTTTCAGCTGAATACACTGACTGCAGTGCATCCTTCCTGAGTCTCAGTTTCAGTTTGGTAAAATCTGCTCTGAAGATACATTTGAAACAGAGAGTACTATGGCTATAAACAGATACACTATCTAATGCCCTAACAATACAGTCTTTATTGTTTAAGAAGCTATACTTATTAACCTGAAACTATTAATAATAGGTGACAAACCTCTCAAAAGTATTCTAAAAACCCACGGCAGTCACCACAACACTATAAGCATTACAGATATACACCAGACTACATTCACGGGGCAGTCAGCTCCCACTCCTCTCTCAAATTCTGGGACAGATTCCCACCACTTCAGGATTCACAAAGCAATAAAATAGTGAGGACAAAAGGGCAACATTCCACTCCCATGAATAAAAAGCATGGAATGGCTGAAATTGCTAATTATACTATTAACACAAAGGAGTTTAGGAATAAAATTCGTCATGAAGGGGAACCAGTGTAGGAGCACAATTCCAATAACCCCGGCACCCGTGAAGGGAGCTCTGCCGGACAGTTCGTAATATCAGCAAAATGACAAGAAACACCACAGCTTTTCAAATATACTTCACATAAGAGTAACTGGAAACTCAAAACTTAAATGCAACATTCTCACAAACAGGAAGCAGAAAAAAGTACAATAATGAAGTTTTGACATGTGAACCCTATCGTACGGTGCTTTAGTTCTGAATCTTGACGTACATTTCCCCCTACTTCCCCACCATTATCCAAGCCTTTTCCTTGCAATAAACTAGATGTTTATGAAGATGCATGAACCCATCCTGCCCATCAGACCAGCACCACATGGTTCACAGAGGCACTATATGCCATTACTGCTACACAGGATACAAAGGAAAGACCTTAGAATTCTAACTTAGCAACAACAAAAATACCACATTGCAGCATCAATCAGGGGCAATTCCATTTAGAAAGCCTAACTTCACCAACTCAGATTTCATTTTTGTCTCTCCATCCTGACCCTACTCCCCTGACCCTGCAATCAACTTCTTCTCTTAAAGAGGGCATCTTTTAGACAGTATAATAAGAGACAAAGGAGACAGAGCAAGGAGATATTTCATCAGGAATGACCAACAGAATGTGTGGGAAATTTATGTAGATTTGTTCAGTGCCATCAGCCTGATGAACAGAGATCTGAAGTTTCTTATACTCGCCTTTGAGAAGTTTCTCAGAGCAAGCGCCCCGTTTAACCTACGGGAGTTTGATCCCCAATGATGAAACACTGAGAAAGAGGTAAACTAAGGTTTAACATAACTTATTCACTGGCTGTGCCTTTATCATCTTCTTATCCACTTTGGATCTTTAATGTTGTATAGACGGGGGTGTGACGGTTATAGCAGGACAACAGGCATAAATCAGGAATGTCTCCGGGAAATCAGGGCACAGGCTCACTGTATATTCAGGGCAGCTCCCACTATAAAAAATATTATCACAAAATATTTCTATAGCATATTTTTACCCTGAATAGCATTAATAGTATTTTAATATGTATACATAAATTATTTAAAGCGCTGAAACATAAAATTAACACCCTTTTCTCATGGCTATACGGGGTGGTGGTGGTTATAAATGCATTCTCCGCCTATAAGTGCTGATGTGTCATTCTGTTTCCCTTGGTTTGAATGATGCTCATTGTTTGTTTTATGCTTTTGTATTGTTTTTTTCTTGCCGTTTTGTGCTGTTTATTCCATGATGGCTATGTAAAGGAATGTTAAGGATAAGGGTGGAGGTATCACACAAATATCAAGAGGAACGTCATGATAGATGTTAAATGCAAGCTTGCACTAGCTCTTTTAAAATGTACCAAGCATCAACACCCATGAGAAGAAGGGAAAACAAAAATAATAAAAACATATCAAACACACACAGGTAATAAATGTAAAATAAAATGGACTATATCAAAATAAAAAACTTAAGCCTCCCAAAGGCTATTTTCTAGAAATTTCTTTATCCAAAATCTATGGTTTTATAGACTTTATCCAAAATCTATAGATTCTGAAATCCAAATTATTTATCACATATCATGCACATATGCATTGGGCTTTTTACCTCTATGACTTTGCTCATGTCCATCTGCCTGTCTAAAATAGTCTTCCCAAACCTGTAAGTGCCCTAACTGAAATTATACCTTTTGGGTAGAAGTTTTTCTGTGGCAAAACAATAGTTTCTGGTGATTCCAGAGGGAGATGAGAGAAACAAGGTTGTACACCTTTTGTCGTAATTTTAATTAGGGGACTTACAGGTTTGGGAAGACTATTTTAGACAGACAGATGAAAATGTGGCACATATACACCATGGAATACTATGCAGTCATAAAAAAGGATGAGTTCGTTTCCTTTGTAGGGACATGGATGAAGCTGGAACCCATAATTCTGAGCAAACTATTGCAAGGACAGAAAACCAAACACTGCATGTTCTCACTCATAGATGGGAACTGAACAATGAGAACACCTGGACACAGGGTGGGGAACATCACACACCACGGCCTGTCGTGGGGTAGGGGGAGCAGGGAGGGATAGCATTAGGAGATATACCTAATGTAAATGACAAGTTAATAGGTGCAGCACACCAACATGGCACATGTATACATATGTAACAAACCTGCACGTTGTGCACATGTACCCTAGAACTTAAAAGTATAATAACAAAAAAAAAAAAAGAAATTACACCTTTTGTTCAAGTCCCAGTTCAAATGCCAGACTTGGCATGATGTTTTCTGTCACTGAAGGCTTAAGTGAAGCAGCCTCCCTCCTGTATTCTTATAACCCTTAACCACATATTGCCTTACACTATAATCATGATCATTATGTCTTTAAACCTACATTAGGCCATAACCTCCCTGAAAGCAGTGGCCATCCATTAAGAGTCATACACTTCCAGGACTGGAATGTTCCATACCAGTTATACATCCTTATGCTTAAGTTCCTGATGAAGCAGCTATCTATCTCCAGAGATGGAGCATCACCAAGTCTTAAGTCTCATTCATCTCTGGTACTTGACAATGTCTGGGAATGCTTTACGTATGGTGAGTGTTCAATATGTATATTTTTTCTGAAAAATGATCGATATATTAAACACATATACAATGCAAAAAATAAACCTAGCTATGCCACATTATTGTGCAGTCTTTCAGAACCAGTTTCTACTCTGTAAAATAGAAATTGTTAATATTTTCTCCACATCATTTCATGAGAATCCACGAGATAACATAAGTACAATTCCTAATACACTGCATACAATAAATGATATTCTACTAGTAATATCATTATCATCAATTTAATACCTTTCTCAATAATCCTTAACTTTTCCCAATCATTGTTTAACTTAACCTGCTTTTCCCAGGTTTGGGTAGAAGTTTTTCTGTGGCAAAACAATACAATCCCCCAGTTAGTTTCTGGTGATCCCAGAGGGAGAGGAGAGAAACATGGTTGTATTAAATTAGTTAAAACAGCTGAACTTGACACTTCTAAAAAAAAAAAAAAAGCTTCCCAGAATTTTCAAGAGAAAAATGGTGAGTCGTTAAACAAGCAACATTAAAGACTGCAGAAGGGATAAAAGAAAGCCTCCTGGACAAAGACAAACATAGGACTTCCAGAATAGACCAAAGGCTGATACTGAGGCAGGAAGGGGGACAATAAACGGCTAAAAGGTGTTTTCTTTTTCTTTCTCTCTCTTTTCCTCCCTTTGTCCTCCTTTCTTCCTTCCTTCCTTTCTCTCTTTCCTTTCTCCCCTGCTTTTTTTTTTTTTTTTTTTTTTTCCTTTTTTATAAAACAGTGCATTATTAGAGAGGTAGAGAAAGGAAAGAGAAGTTGTTCTGGGAATACTCTGCCAATCAACTTTTAGATGAAAAACTAAAAGTGATGAAACCCTTCGTTTCTGAAAACAGAAACGAAACAGGGAAAAGAGTGCTGAACAGAATAGAACCCGTCATGAACTAACAAGAGAATGGATTATTCAGTTGAGAAAACTGAATAAGGGGCAGAATGAACATAATTAAAAAAACAGGCTTCGCCGGGCGCGATGGCTCATGCCTGTAATCTCAGCACTTTGGGAGGCCGAGGCAGGTGGATCACGACTCTGGAGATCGAGACCATCCTGGCTAACACGGTGAAACCCCGTTTCTACTAAAAATACAAAAAATTAGCCGGGCGCAGTGGCAGGCGCCTGTAGTCCCAGCTACTCGGGAGGCGGAGGCAGGAGAATGGCGGGAACCCGGGAGGCGGAGCTTGCAGTGAGCTGACATCACTCCAGCCTGGGCGACAGAGCGAGACTCTGTCTTAATAAATAAATAAATATTTAAAAAAAGACAGACTTGTGTTATTGCTCAGTAAGTAGTTGTTGAATAAAGCATGAAAGACTAAATATGTTAGTAAGTAGGAAAAAGATAATGAATTCAGGATTCCAAGGCTGAAATCTCCTCTATTTCAGTCCCAGGCATAAAGGTAATCAAGGTAAGCAAAGGGGATGCTGTAGCCAAGGAAAATTTCTGTTCAGGGGCTTGCTTCTGGGTATCTCGTTTCATCACTGCTTCTCTGATTTTGCCCCATTCTCTGTAGCCCTAGCAAAAGCCCTTCTGGGCCTTACTCAAAGCTTTAGTTTTGGCAACATAATACTCCCACAGGCTTTCTTTAACCATAGCTTTTAACTTGCTAACAATAGTCTTCATGTCACAAGGTTTTCCTCTTAATTACCAATGTGACATTTACTACTTGTTTCCATCTTCTGACATAAATAACAAATCACTTTGCCAACTGTGCAGTTTGGCAGCATGCACAAAACAGGCAGTGACTGAGCAGCCTGCACACCTCATGGCAGCTTCACCATTCACAAGTGCTTCCTTTAAGATCAGCTCAACCATTGACTGACTCTGTGACATGAGCAAGTCACAGTCTCCTTAGGGCCACAGTGTCCTCATCTGTAAAATGGAGATGGCAAATGTATCTACTGTGAAAGATAATATCTACAGTGTTATGAGGAAAATCACATGAAATAATGTAGAAAGCAATGTAAATAAAGTAGCACAGAAGTGTTGGTTATTTTTGGTAGAAATGCGACCAGGGGCAACCCTTTGACTGACATCCTGGGCTTCCTACTCAAGTTTGAGCTTCTATCTTACTTTGCCTTTTGTCTAATAGAGAGGACTCTGTGGTTTCTGAACAGCCTTTATCACGTCTTTCATGACTCCAATCTCAGATAAACAACTGATGGGTATGTGGACTCTGTAGCAATGCACAGCCTTGCTGTGACCTTGTGGGAGGCTCTCTGCCTCTGCTCTGCTCTGGGAATGACCTCACTCCATTTGGGCCCCACATAATGCCTTCAAAATCCCTCTTTGACAGAGAGTAATTACACTTTAATTTAACTAGGGACATTCACTCCTTCTAATTATAATATTCCTCATGCTCATTAGTAAAATAAATGAAAATAAAATCTCCCTCAAAGGGAGGTGTGAGGGTATTCCCATGCAATACTACTACTCTGTTTCTTCTCCCCTTTCTAATTAAACTTGAAAGAGTAGTCTGTACTTAGAACTCTACTTCCTGACCTCCAATTCTACTTATGCATTTTTCTCTTTTTTATCGGTCATATATGCAAGTACTAGAAAAGCAAAATAATGGAGAAAGACTTATAATGAAAAGCAACAATCTCTCATTCCTTCTTATTCACTTTTCAGAGCAACGACTCTACTTTTCTTTTTAGATCCTCTGGTGGTTACCCCCCTAATATGACTTATTACCTTTATGTTGTTGTTTATGGATGCATCCATTTAAAACAAAGTCCCTCCTACTAACCAGAATTTAATCTATGTATACTATGCTCCACTCATTTCAACTTTTAATTTTTCTATTTTTCCTTATGAATCAACTTTGAGGTATAATTTACATGTGAGAAAATGGAACCATTTTAAATGTCCCGTTAACTGAGTATTGACAAATGGTACACTCGTGTAACTAAAAACACTTTCAAAATATAGAACATTTCTGTTACCCTAAAAGTTCCTACATACCCTTTTGTGGTCAATCATACCCCAACTGCCAGCTCCAAACAACCGGTGATCAACTTTCTGTGACTACAGTCTTGCCTGCTCTAGAATTTTATATAAATGGAGTACACTATATACTCTTAGATATCTGATTTCTTTAACTCTATAAAGTTTCTGATAGTTATCCATGTAGTTGAGCTCATCACTTACTCACTGCCTTTTTAGATAAGTAATATCCCATTGTATGGCTACAGCACAATTTGTTTGTCCATTCATGTGCTGGTGAACATTTGGATTGTTTCAAGATTTTGGTTCTTATTAATATAGCTGCTATGAAAATTCCTGTACAAGTCTTTCAGCATACATATGTTTTGCCTTCTCTTGGGTACCTGGAATTGCTGGGGCAAGGGTAGTGTGTATTTCACTTTTTAAGAAAGTCTCTTTTCCCTCTAGGTCTAACTCACAAATAGGATGGCCACCAGTAAGTTCTAGGCATGTGATAGGAATTGCTGTGTCATGTTACAGGATGAGTAGGAGGGATGCCTGTCTCTGTCCTTCGTTAGGAGGAGGCTACACATGCTAGAATGGAGGACAGCCTCACTAAAGTGGAGGCACATATATCATAGCAGTGAAATTCCTCCCAGGTCTTTTTTTTTTTTTTGTCTCTTTAGAGGCGTCTTCTGGTTTTCCACTGGGAGTAAAACACCTGTAGCACGTTCTCCATGGGGATGAAGGAAGGAGGAGACAGGCTATGGAGAGCCTGTTGATACCATCATTTGGTAGGAAGATATCCAATTAATCTCCTGCTTCCCTTCCTCACTCCTCCTTCCACATTACTGTCTGACTGAGTCTAAAGCCCCTGCAACTCCCTTCCCTTTGGTCATACCAGTCTGTAGCTTCTGGGCTGCTGCTTCCTCCCTCTGGTTACCTATCTTCTAGAAATTTGTTGAACTCAAATTTGCTGATAGTCCTTCTCCCATTCTTTTCATTTTGCTAAGTGTGTTTATTTTTATTGGGGTCTTGGTAGAAAAAAGAAAAATGCTTATCTTTGGTCTGCAGTCCTCACCTGGAAACTGGTGGATCTGATTCAGTGCAGCAATCTAGCACCAAATCCTACCCCTGAAACTTCTCCAGCCACGCTCAACAATGCCCACTGCCACTTAAACCAAGGCACGCCTTTATGTTTTCACTTACACTCTGTCACATCTGAGACTGCATGACCTCTCTCCTGCCTGAAATGCTCACATGATTTGCACAACACGGCTCTCTCTCGGTTTTCTCCTGCCTTCTGGCCACTTCTTTCAGCCCCGTTTCTATACTTCTTGTTCTCTGCTCTTCACCTTCTCTCACTCTACACATTCTCCCTAGTTCTTGTGACCCAACGTACTCTTGTAAGCGCCACACTTGCAGTGTTAGACAGCTCCTGTCCTGACAAACCTGCCTTAAGTTACAAGACTCAGACAGATACCCTAAGTGTCCCCACAGTACAAGAGAGCCTACTGTAGAATTTCTCACACTGCACCATATGGCCTGCTCACGGATCTGCTTCCTCCTCCAGCCTTATGCTTCCTGAGAGCCCAGAACTGTGAGTTTCTCATCCCCAGCAACTCTCCTAGCATACAGCTGGTGCTCAATAAATATTTGCTGGATTGAATTGAGATCATGGATATGAAAAGGTGCTTTGTGTTTTACACATGTTATTACTGGTAATCAGAGTAAAAACTTTTTACTTTGAAGAAAAAACATGCCAGGTAAAGATAAACCTCAAGTTAATTAAAGAAAATCTAAAATTCTTAGTGCAATACAAATGAATGCCTGTTCATAAACTAATGATGCACATCTTCCTATGAAAATTGCATCTTCTTCATTCCTTGGCACCTCTTTAGAGTCAAACCAATTTAGACGTCTCTGATCAAAACAGTCTCACACCCAAGTTCACAGCAGCATTATTTACAATAACCAAAGGTGGAAAGAACTCTAGTATCCATTGACAGATGAACAGGTGAACAATATGGCATATGCATATACACATACAATGAAATAGCATTCGGCCTTTAAAAGGAAAGAAATTCTGACACATGCTACAATATAAATGAACTTTAATGATATTACACCAAGTGAAATAAGTCAGTTGCAAGAAAGACAAATACTGTATGAAGTCATTTACATGAGGTACCCTGAGTCATCAAATTCATAGAAAGAAAGGTAGAATGGTGGTCGCCAGGGGCTGATGAGAGGAAGAATGGGATGTGACTGATTAATGCATTCAGAGTTTGCTTTTCAAGATGGAAAGAGTTCTGGAGACAGATGGTGTGTGGTAATAGTTGCACAACCATGTGAATGCATACTTAATACCATTGAACTGTACACTGAAAAGCTGTTATGACGGTAAATTTCATTATGCGTAGTTTACCACAGTTAAAAATAAAAGAAAAAGTCTCATACACAAAATACTGTATTTTACCAGAATATTTTTGAAGCAAAATTCTGACCTATGTCTAAAATGAAAATAATCAAATGGTAGAGTAAAGAGAGGTATGCCAAATGTAAGAAGCACTGTAAAGGACAAAAAAGCAGAATTACAGAATGACAACAATAACAATTGCAGACATTCACTGAAGTTTACTAGATGCCAGGCACTACGCTAAATACTTAAATGCTTTATATAAATTAATTCATTCAAAATGGCTACAAGAGAAATGGGGGGCTTAGAGAGATTAAGTCACTTAGCAAAGGTTTCACAGCTCAAAAGTGGCAGAAATGAGATTCAAACCCAGGCGCTCTGGTCTAAAGCCCATGCTCTGGCCACTATCTGCGTGGGCACTTTGGGATGAGAGGGCTGAGGAGGGGAGCAGAAGGGGATCTCTAAACTTTCCCTAACTTTCAAGTTTAAGAGACAAATGAAAACAAAATCAATTATCTACGGAGTACCTTTTACATGCCAAGCACGTATGGCATGTAAGAGATTCAAATCCAATTCTGGATCCGAGGGAATCCACAGTCTATTGGGAGACGCAGAGATGTATATAAATAACCAGGCAGTACATGCCAGGAGCTGCCTAAGAGGTATCAACAGAGGGAAGAGGATGTTTAACACATGGTGTCTCCTGCAAACCCATACAATTCTTGGCAACACAAAGTGATGAATGAATATTGACTAAATGAAATAAAATCAGTATACAAAAATGTATTCTGTCTCAGAAAGCATTTGGAGAAGAAAAGACAAAAGAATCAATTTTGCTTTCTTCTTCTCAAAGAAAAGAAATTTAACAGATTATGGCAATCATTGAAATTTAAATCACAATAAAAAGGAAACTGACTTTTTGTTCAGATTACACTTTATTTTTAATTAACTAATTAATTTTTTTTTTGAGACGGATCTTACTCTGTGGCCCAGGCTAGAGTGCAGTGGCCCAGTCATGGCTCACTGTAGCCCTGACCTCCCAGGCTCAAGCACTTTTTCTGCCTTAGCCTCCTGAGTAGCTGAGACTACAGGCATGGGCCACTGCACCCGGGTCATTTTTTTTTTTTTTTTTTTTTTTTTTTGCTTTTTGTAGAAACACGGTCTCACTATGTTTTCCCAGGCTGGTCTCAAACTCCTGGGCTCAAGCAATCCTCCCATCTCGGCCTCCCAAAGTGCTGGGATTACAAGTGTGGGCCACTGTCCCTGGCCTTTACACTTTACACTATTTACACTTTAAATAGTTATCACATATTAAAAGGTTACCATATTAAAGATTCTAGGAGACAGATAATGATCACATGAAATTTAAACCACCATATAAAATTCATACTGCAACTAGAACAGCCTCATTTTTCTAAACAGAGACGAGAGATTAAGGAAACACACAAGGACACTGGAATGATCAGCTTTGAAACCATGGATTCAAGCAGTTTATCTTGCATCTTCTGTTGCCCTTTAGTTCTCTCTAGACTTAACATCTATCATCCTCCCCACAGCACTCCATGTAAACATTTGCTGATGTGCTAATGCCAAGAATTGGAGAGACGTCTCATTTCCAGAGGCTTAAAATAATGGCTACTTGCTGCACTTACCTCAAAATCATATTGGCACCTTCTATACTAAGATACTAAGTTTTATTTTTTTTCACTACACTATTAAGAACTTCTACGTTAGTGTAGTCATGCGCCACATAACGATGTTTTAGTCAACAATGGCCTGCATGTACACAGTGTTCCCATAAGATTATAACAGACCTCGTGATAGCGCGGTGTCTTTGCAGCACAAAGCATTACTCTTACTTGTTTGTGGTGATGCCGGTGTAAACAAACTTACTGCACTGCCAGTCCTATAAAAGTCTAGCACATACAATTATGTACAGTACATAATATCTGATAATGACAATAAACAACTGTTACTAGTATCTACATTTACTATACCATATTTTTCATGGCTTTTTAGACTGTACTCCTTTTCCATATATATATATAAACTTAACTGTAAAAGAGCCTCGGGCAGGTCCTTCAGGAGGTATTCTAGAAAGCACTGTTATCAGAGATGACAGTTCCATGCATGTTATTGCCTGTGAACACCTTCCAGTGGGACAAGATGTGGAGATAAAAATCCTGACCCTCTGTAGGTGTAGGTGAATGTGTGTGTGTATCTTAGTTTTTAACAAAAAAGTTTAAAAAGTAAAAACAAAAAGTAATTTTAAAATATTAAATTAAAATATTAATGTTAAAATAGAAAAGAGCTTAGAGAATGAGGATATAAAGAAAGAAAAGGTTTTTGTATAGCTATATAATGTGTTTGTGTGTTTAAGCTAAGTGTTATTATAAAGTCAAAAAGTTAAAAACCTTATAAAGTAAAAAAGGTTACAGTAATAACTCACTGACTCACCAGAACAACTTCCAGTCCTGCAAGCTCCATTCATGGTAAGTGTCCTAGATAGGTGTACCAGTAAAAAATCTTCTACACTGAATTTTTTACTATACTTTTTCTATGTGTAGACACATAAATACTTACCATTGGGTTACAATTGCCTACAGTATTCAGTATAATAACATGCTGTACAGGTTTATAGTCTAGGAGCAATAGGCTATACCATATCTTAGGTGTGGAGCAGGCTACACCATCTAGGTTTGTGTGAATATACTCTGTGATGTTTGCACAGAGAAGAAATTGCATTTCTCAGAACTATCCCTGTTGTTAAGCAATGCATGACCATATATACTATACCTTGTCCCAATATCAAGCCAGCTGCCATAATCCTTGACCAAGAAGAAAAAATGCTGTAAGAAAAAAAAAGGCTCAATTAAAAACAAACCTATTTAGATTCAGTCTAAAAACAAAGTTATTTTAGGACTGTATGTTTCAGATTTCTGACTCTAACAATCACTAGCTGACTGTAGTCAACAAGAATATGTCATTTACTGAAACTTTTGCTTGTATTAGAATTAGTAGTAGTCTAAAATCCAGAAATAGAATTATCAATCAAATGAACACAAAAGTGACATTTCTGAATAACTAGAAATAAAGAAGAAGCCAACATCAATTTAAAAAAAAAAAACTAGATAATACTAAAGATGTCAGTGGAAAGATGTCATGTCATCCATCTATCAACAAATATTTACTGTACTGACTACCTACTGTGTGCCAATCACTGTCTTAGGTGCTGGAGATAAACTCCTCCTCACAAGGCATAGGCTCTACTAAATAATTCAGTCAAATTATCGGGGGTGTGGGTGGGTGAGGGTGTGTGTGTGTGTGTGTGTGTGTGTGAGCAGGGGACAGAGGGAGTGCTATCATTGGAAAATACAGGCAATTATAGAAACAGAGGAAGGGGTTCATACCCTGATTAGGATGGAAGGGAAGGCTTCCCAATAGAAGGTGAAATCTAAGTAAAAAGTAGGAGTCAGATGAAAGGAGGTTTGGAGAGAAAGAGGTTTCTGGCAGAGGGAATAGCCTATATACACATCAAGAGTCCATAGAGAGCTTGGTGTCAAAGTGAGGATGGTGTAGAGAAAACAAGGATGGAGAGGTAAGAGAAGATGCCAATCAAATGGGCAGAAGCTATATCACAAATGACTGTTCAAGTTAATTCAGGCAAACTTTTTTATATAAAATTAATCAGAATTTCAACCCTCTTCTATTAACATGTCTGTTTGTCACTTTGCACAAAACTGAAAACTGATTTGTTCTCACATAATGTGTGGTCAGTTTCAGAAATACAATGAATAACAATTCAATACCACACAAAAATACTCTCATCTAAACCGAGTGACTAGGAATCTGATTTGGGAAGCTATCCTTATTGGTATTCCTAGTTACTTCTGGCATGGGATGTTATACGGTGATGAATTAATCTTACCCAAAAAGATCGCTGGTGTTTGTTCTCAGCTACTGGGTGGTGATTTCTAGGCCCTTGGAATGTCATGGAATGTCATGCCTTATAGAAGGTTCTGCCTGAGGTCTTGGCCACCGGACAGTCTAACAATGTGGTGTATGATGAGGGCTTTTGGCCATATTACCAGCTGTATCCCCAGAAGGGATTAAAGGTCAGCCACATAGGCAGTATGTGATCAAACCCCACTAAAAAGTCTGGACAACAAAGCTTAGGTAAGCCTGGCTGGCAATACTCCATGTGTACTGTCACGCATCAATAGCGGGAGGCTAATGCTGTCCTGATTCCACAGGGAGAAACAGAAACTCAGAATCTGGTATCCTGGACTCTGCCCTATGGCCTGGAATAAACTGTAACTGAATATAACAGCATTCAGTGAGTTCTGTGAATTCTAGTGAATTACTGAAGCTGAGGGTGGTCTTGGGAACTCCCCAAACTTGTAGACATAAAATAGGTTCCTCTTTTTGTTAATAACAGAGGCCTACCTACCTGCATCAGAACTTATTTATTGCAGCCACATCTTGATTAACACCTTCCCAATAGAAAAGCTGCATTTCCTTTTTCCTTCCTTCCTTCCCTCCCCCTTTTTCTTTCATTTTTAATCTGAGAGAAGGGTTAAAAATCAACATTTCAATAGAAAAATGATGTATTATCTAAATTTAAAGTTAGCTTTTTCTGTTAATTTCCTTTGGAAGGTTCATTTCAGATACAAAGCAACATGGAAGACAAGGTATGACAGATTCGAATAAATCAAGTAGTAAGACTTTTGACACCTGAAGAAGAGCACACATCCTGTATAATAACTAATATAAAACAACATAATTTATATGTGTAAATTATTCCAGCACTTACAACTCAATATCTAAAGATTTCATGTACCGAAATGCATTCATATTTCTCTTTATTAAATTAACCCAGGACTCTTAATCTAATTTATATGGACTACCCAGTAATGCCTTACCAAAGCCATAATGTCTGATATGACGAGAACAATGAGAAAAAGGCTGGAAAAAAAAAAGAAGGAAAAATTACATATAGTACAACAGGTGCATTTTTCAAGCTCATTAAAATCCAAGTGAGACTAGGCAAATAACCTAATATTGTTGGTACTTTTGCTTCTGAAAACACAACTTTCAAAGGTTCTTTTCATATTATCACAGGTGACCACCCCATAGAGATGAGCTGGACTGTAAAATGTGTTATTAAGTGCTCTGAATATTTATTTCAGTAAAATGAAAGGGACATACATTATGATTTTCAAAACTAAACTTTTGAGATAATTGTTAACTAATATGCAATTTCAAGAAATAATACAGAGGGATCCTCTGTACCCTTTACCCAGTTTCCCCCAGTGGGAAGATCTTGTAAAACCATGGTATAATATCCCAAGCAGGACACTGACACTGATACTGTCCAGATAAGGAGTGTTCCCATCATCACAAAGATATCTCATGATGCCCTTTTAGAGCCACATGTGTCCTCCCCTCACCATCCCTCTGCCTAATCCCTCACTTCTGAGAGCCACTAATCTGTTCTCCATTTCTATAATTTTGTCATTTTAAGAGTGTTTTATGAGTAGAATAACATACATAACAAGTTGAACAATTTATATAACACTCTGTTACCTTTTGTAACCTTCAGGGATTGGCTTTTCCCACTCAGCAAAATTTTCTCAAGAATCATCCAAGGTGCTGTGTGTATCAATGGGTCATTTACTTTTATGGCTGAATAGTACTCCATCATATGGATATACAATGGTTTACTTAACCATTCAAGCACCAAAGGACATCAAGGCTTATTTCTACTTGTGGCTATTGTTACAGTTTGCGGCTGTTACAAATAAAGCTGTTATAAACATTTGTGTCTAATTTTTTGTGTAAACCTTTCATTTTTCTAGGAAAATACATCAAGAGTGCAATTGCTAGGTCATACAACAGTAGTATGTTTAGTTTCATAAGAAACTGTAAAACTCTTTTCAGAGCGGTTTGTACCACGTTACATTTCCACTAGCAATGCATGAGAGCAATTTCCTTACATCCTCAACAGCATTTGGTGATGCCACTATTTGTTTTTAACTGTTCTGATAAACTGTTTTGATATGTGTATAATGATATTTCATTTTTTTTTAAATTCTTTTTTGAGATGGAGTCTTGCTCTGTTGCCCAGGCTGGAGTGCAGTGGTGTAATCTCGGCTCACTGCAACCTCCACCTCCTGGGTTCAAGCAATTTTCCTGCCTCAGGCTCCCGAGTACCTGGGACTACAGGCACACGCCACCACGCCCGGATAATTTTTGTATTTTTAGTAGAGATGGGGTTACACCATATTGGTCAGGCTGGTCTCATACTCCTGACCTCATATCCGCCCGCCTCGGCCTCCTAAAGTGCTGGGATTACAGGCGTGAGCCACCACGCCCGACCCACTGTGGTTTTTATATGCATTCCTTTAATGGCTAATCATGCTGAACAACTTTTCATTGGCTTATTTGCCATCTGTATATCTTCTTCAGGTGTTTTGCTCACTTTCTAATTAAATTTTTTTTACTGTTTAGTTTTGTGCATTCTTTATATATTCTAGATACTAGTCTTTTTTCAGATACCTGGTTTGTAAATATTTTCTCCCAGTATGTAACCTATGTTCTCACACTCTTAGCAGGGTCTTTCACAGAGCAAAAACTTACAATTCTGAAGAAGTCCAGTTTATCACTTTTTCCTTTTATGGGTTACAATTTTGATGTCAAGCCTAACTCTTTGCCTAACCCAAATCCCAAGGATTTGCTCTATTTTTTTCCTAGAAGTTTAAATCTGTGGTCCACTTTGAGTTAATTTTTGAATAAAGTGTGAGGTTTTGGTAGAGATTTCTGACTTGTTTTTAAGAAATAATTGTTTTTCTAACCATTGGTTTGAAATAAAGACATGTAACTCAATAGTTCACATATGCAGATATATACCACAAGTCAGACCGATGATATCTTACTGAAGTATAATTTCATTCAGACACATAATAAAGTATGTTAATCTGATTAAGAGTTTGTAGAGAATGCAATGGTCATCCAGTACAACCTTCTACTTAAAGCATGAATTCCCAAAGTATCAATCCCAATAAAGGCATTGTCTAGTACTAGTTTTAGTGGTTGCAGCAACAGAATCCACTCCATTTTCACAGCTCCAATTACTGCAGAGTTCTTTCTTCTGTGATTCAAAGCACAACAATAATTCTACCCTATGGACCCAGTTCTTCTGGAATAGAAAAATAATAAATACAATTCAAAAGACCTTTAGAATAAGTGTGGTGGCTCACGCCTGTAATCCCAGCACTTTGGGGGGCTAAGGTGGGAGGATCGCTTGAGGCCAGGAGTTCAAGACCAGTCTGGCCAACATGGTGAAACCCCGGCTCTACTAAAAATAGAAAAACTAGCCAGGCATGGTGGCACATGCCTGTAAGCCTAGCTACTACAGAGGTTGAGGCACGAGAATCGATTGAATCTGGGAGGTGGAGGTTGCAATGAGGTCACACCACTGCATTCCAGCCTGGGTGACACAGTGAGACTCTGCCTCAAAATAAAACCCCAAGAAAACAAAACAAACAAACAAATGAACAAAAAGACCTTTAAAAAACCTTTACATACCTTTTTCAAAAAGTTTTGATTTTTTAGAAATATTATTTTTATTTTTCTAAAGAAAATTATATTACTGTGTGACACAGATGATGTTCTGGGATACTTGTGAAATTAAGACACATCTGATTAAGTTATTTATTGTCTTCTCAGCCTCAGTTTCCTTATCTATAAAATGGTCGTAATAATATCTATATTTCCTAGTATCATTGGAAAAATTAAGTCAGGTAATATGTGGAAAGTACCTAATACAGTGCCTGACATATGGCATTTGCCTAGTAAATATTGGTTTCATTCTCATTCCTTAAACAAAAGCTTTAAATGAAATTAAAGATATAATCTCTCCCCTTATGGAGTTCACAAGGTGTGTATTAGCTAGAGTTGCCATAACAAAGTACCACAAATTGAGTGGCTTAAACAATATAAATTTCCTCATAGTTCTGGAGGCTGGAAGTCCACGATCAGTGTGTGAGCAGGGTCGGTTTTATTTGAGGTCTCTTTCCTTAGCTTGTAAATGGCCATATTCTCCCTTAGGTTCACATGTCATCTCTTCTGTGTTTGACTGTGTCTTAATCTTTTCCTCTTATAAAGACATCAGTCATATTGGACTAGGACTCACTCATATCACCTCATTTTACCCTAGTTACCTATTGAAAGGCCCTGTCTCCAAATTCAGTCATATTCTGAGGTACTTGGGGGTCAGGACTTCAACATAAGAATTTTAGGGGACACAAATCAGCCTCTAACTGGGTGTGAAACACAAAAGTAAGAAACAATTTTATCAGCCACCGTCTGAGTTACCTAACTTAGCCAGAAATTTGAGGGTGGAAGGATTCTGGAGAGTGGAGCAGTTGGGTAAAAAAAGTTTAACAGAGAATAAGATCCCTGAACTAAGTCTTAATTAAAAAGAAGGAAAAAGATTTTCCAGAGCAAATCTTCATATTCTTGAACCATTTTGTGGAAACTGAAGAACCCAGAAGTAAGTCTGCTCAGGGTCACACAGCTAGTAACGGTAAGTCATAGACTCATAAAGCAAGTCTGGCCCCAGAGCCCGTGCTCCAAACCATTAGGCACACTGCCTCCCCATGGCTCTACTGACTCTCAGAGGCCTTCAGCATCTTCATCACGTTCCTGTGAATGTGTCCCCAGTTCCCTTGTTTATTCATATGCTGCCCAAATGCGAAGGCATAAATGTAACACACTATTCAATATTCAAGGTGATCTAATTTTAAGAAGGATAGGGTTATCATTCCCTTGCTGTGAATACAATAATTTTATTAAAGGCAGGTTAGTTATATGGTATTATTTGATCTCCAAGATGTTTTGAAGCTACTGTGTACCTAGATCCTATGAGTTTCCTCATAAATACATTTTTATTCAAGAAATAAATACCTGCTATTGAGTTTTTATCCAATTGATAATAAACATTACTTATCATCCCCATCGAGCCACTGTGATTGTTCACTTGCAAGACCCTTAACTGATCTCCCTGCTCTTATTCTTGTCCTCCTAAAGTTATTATCCATGCAACAGACAGAACAGCCTTCAAAACCTACCAAAGGCTTCTTGCCACAACTGAATAATACTGAAGTCCTATCTGTGGCCTAAGTGGCCCCTTATGTTCTGCCCCTGCCAATCTCTTCAACTTTATTTCCTACAATTCTCCTGCTAGCGCAGTCTGCTTAAGGCTACCTTTCTTGCTGTTCTCCAAATACACCAAGCATGTCTTCAACTCATGCCCTTTGTACATTTCACTCCTTCCACCTGAGTGAACCATGAAACTATGTGAGTAAAGACTATGTTCAGGTTTTTGCATAAATTGCTTCTCCTTAGAGAGGTCTCCCTGGACCACTTCATTTTTTCCCCTGACATTTAACACTACTTAAAATTTTGTTATGACAAGCATTTTATTTTCTTTGTCTCCCCAGGTAGACAGTAAGCTCTGTTCACCAAATGTAACACCAGCGGCTAGTACAGTGCCCGGTATATTATACAAACTCAAATCCTACGTGCTGAATGAATAGTAGGAGTAATTAGCATAAACTAAAACTGAAAATGGCTAATGCTACACATTGTGAAATTTGCTTTAGATTTAAGACTGACTTAAGAATCTTTTCCTTTTGATTTCATAGAACACAAAAAATCTGATCCACGAAAAATTAGACCTGGTAGAAACAACACCAAATAACATTGTAGAAGGCTAAAACCACACAGAATAAAATCTGTAACTAACAAAATAATGATGGAAGAAGCAAATCTTAACAATAATCAGATCTGTAATACCTAATCTAGGTGAATGAGACCTGGTAGATATGATAACTATAGAAGGAAAAAAAAAAACACTGGGAGAAGCTGAAATCCACAGACTTTAAAATAAACAAAAACAACCCAAAATTTTTCTGGAAATTAATAAAAATAATTTTAATAAATTAAAAATCAAAATAGAAATACTTAAAAGTAATTTACTTCTACTTCATATTGATTTAAAAATTAAGCTGATTTAATAGAGTGCCCATAGGAAAACACTTTCCCAATAAAAGTTATTCAATATTATAATAATTCTGATTCAAATCTAGATTCCTAAATATGTGAGCATAACATTTTGGAGATAAAAACACCCATTAGAACAAAATGATATATTCAAAATTGGAGTAAAATTATTTTCACTTCAATTAATACAGGGCATGAGAAAACTAGCTTTTTGGCTGCTAGATCACATTGTTGACAACTGCTATTTCCAAGTTGGTTTTTTTTCCCCCAATCCCTGCTAGGTAGCCATGGCTCTTGTACAGTTGAGTATTTAATCAAACACAGAACTGAAAAATCATCCCTTTCAGATCTTATATGGTTGGTTGTTGAATACTTCTGTAATACTAAAACTTGTTTCTCTTTCTCAGCGGTCTTCTAATTTCTCTCATGCTTTGCTGCATTCTGAAGGTGACAAAGGTCTTCATGGTCCATGTCATCTCAAACTGTGAAATGAACTGGCCACAACTGTGACACTTTTGGCAGGTTGTTTCACACCCCCACACCTCCCTTTTCCCTAACCCCCTTCCAGTTTACAATGAATGTGTGCCCGACAGAGTTCTGGCCATAGAGACACAGTCAGAAATCTGCTACATGGGGCCTTTGGGAAAGACACTGCTACCCTGACAGAAAAGGAGAATCAGCTGACCTATCTCCTTGCCTTTTTCCTCATTAGTCCTTTTCCCTTGTTCCTGTCTGGATGGCAGATGAGATATGATGGCAGATGGAGGCATAATGAGAAAAACACGAGAGTAAAAGCAACAATCTAAGAATCTTCCATTCTTAGGAATACAGAAAAGCAGGGTTGCTGATGGCATCACAGAGTTGTGGGCTGCCAACCTCCAGACTCCATGTGACATGAGGACATAAATCTCTATTTCTCTTAGCTACTGTTAGATTTTCATTGCTTACATCCATAAGCATTCTTAATGGATAAGCTATCAGGTAATCTTCATGCACAGCTACTACCTTTTTGTGGTCTCTACCCAAAATTTACAAGGTTTTGTTGATGAACCCAATTATTAAGACTGAGACACTAGATAAATTATTAATAATTAGAAAAGTAAATTTTAAGTCATGCAAAAAAATGTTAATACAACTTTTCTACTTCACTTTTGTTCCATGCACATTTTAAGGAGTGAGTCGGAAGAGAAGAAGAATCATTTCACTGGTTTGTTATATTGAACTCGTCCTTGGCATTATAGATATAATAAATAAATAAGTCATTAGTATATATCTCCACCCCCATCTTAACCGTAGGCTTCCAACAGTTGTAAGAAAATGATTAGCAACATAAATAAAAAGACTGTAAAAAGGTCAACAGAAAGGAGAGATGTTATCAGTGATTATTTGGTAAGTGCTACGGCAGTGAGGGTGGCTGGACTTCAGCTTGTATGATGGATTAAATAAAGAAAACAGGATGAGAAGCTAATTTTCAATAGGAAGAAAAGGCATCGCTGGGATCAATGTGTGACATTAAATTTGATGAGTCAGTGTGATATCCAGGAAGAAATGTCAGTGACTTCTGAGTTTAAAGGTCAAAAGAGACCTTTCTGAGCCACCTTTGCCTCAGTTCTCTCCTGCTGTGTTTTGTTTTTCATTGTACTAGTTTCTAGATAGCATTACTATACACACGTACAAATATAAGAATACATACACACATACACTTTGGTGTGCCTTCTATTTCTTATTCCACATGTCCCCAGCTCTTCTTATTTAAACCTTAATTAAAATCCCTTCTAAAAATCTTATCCACCAACAAAGATGCAGGAAAGTACATGTCATTCACCAGTTTTTATTGCATCTAAGTAAATATCTCTTATGTGATATTGACAAGGCATAAATACTCTCAATATTAAATTCATGTAAATATCCTGCAAAAATATACTAAAACTAGAAATGAGATTTCTAGTATTCTTAAGCAGTGGAAGAAAAACTTTTTTCTTTATGGCATATGCATAATACTATGCTAAACCCAGTTCTAGCTTATACTCATCAAGAAAAACATGCAAATTTATGCTAATATTAGTTATTTCTTTCAGCATTGAGTATGCTAGTTTGATTCAAGAATAACAAAACTGCTAAGCTTCATATTTATATCAAGTATTTTCCAGAGTCCCTGTGCTGATAAGGCAATTTTATTGGTTAAAAAAAGCAAATAGTTGAGTTGACAGCTTTTCTTCCACAGTCTTGATTGCTTAAGACGGACTGCTCCAGAAATTCCTCAAAACTCAGAAAGAATACTTCCCACTCCATTTGTCAGATGTGTAAAAATCATAACTGAGAAACTAAGTATATTTTTGACACTTAGAAAAGTTAATTTTAAGTCATGGAAAATGAAATAATGTTCACACATTTATCTAATAACATATTTAAGAAATAAACCAAAATAAGTTAGAGTATCTTTTGCTTTTTGTAGGCACAGTTACAATAAGTAATTAACTACAATAATTTAACATTTATGTTTTACTGTTTTCTAGGGAGGTTCTTTACTAGCTTGAATAATATTCTAATAACATTTTATTGCTGAGAAAGCAAGCTTGTCTGCTAGAGGCCCTAATCAACTAATTTCCTCTAATGAGTTGCAACACTGACTAAACGGGTGAACATTTTCTCATTTGTGTAACAAACAATCTACGTTACAGTGTCTTAATAGCAATCACATGAAATGTCTTCAAATGTTTACTCTCATCTCCTAAAAATAGGCAAATCAAATGTTTCTTAAACGAATTCATCTTACCTTTTTGACGATAACTGAGTAGTCAACTGAACCGCTTCGAAAGCACACATAACAAGAACAAAGGGGATTAAAATCTATAAAAGAACAATAAATGATGCCATAAATAACTGAAGCATTTGAGACACTTTTTGAAAAAACTACTATTTCTGCTTACAGAAATATTTTCAATTTCTCAGGTAACTTTTATATATACTAGTGAAAAGCAAACACTGAAATAAAAGCATGATACCAATGGCACATAGAACAGTGATGAAACTGACTTAAAAAACTACATTAATAAGCTATACAATGTAAAAGACAGCAAACATCAATACATATTCCAAATAAAAGCCTATTACAAATTTTGTTCCATTTAGTGTATTCTAATAATTAACAACAAGGTTCAAAAGATTCCAAGAGGGTGTGAAAAACACAGAATGCCCAAATCAAATAAATTATATAACCTGATAATTTGATTCACAGATCCTTAAACCCATCTGGTTATTTAAAACTATAACATCATAAACATGATTCAGATTCTCAATCATTGCTTTTTGTTTTTTAAAAAAAATACATTTATTTATGATTATAAAATTCACACTCATTATAACAAATTTGAAAAAAAATTATAAAACATTTGAAATAAAGCCATAGCAAAATTTTTGCTGGTTGAAAATCCATAATCCAGAGCGAATACTGTTAATATCTTGAGGTATTGCTTTCCAATTATCAATTTTGAAAAAATATATAACTTGATGTTTCAAAAAAGGGGGAGATATGGAAAATAAATGATGTTCAAGACTGCATAAAGTTATTTTTCAAGTGAAGGACATATGGATAAAATAGAATTCAGCAGGGCCCTCACTTCTAGACACATCAGTCAACAACAGTCATCAAGTGTATTATGTCATTAAAGCTTACTGCTTTGTGCTAGAGACTAAGAACCCAGCATTTTAATATGAGCTTTGTTTTTCTCTCCCTCCCTTCCTTCCTTCCTTCCTTCCTTCCTTCCTTCCTTCCTTCCTTCCTTTCTTGTTTTTAATTAAAGGTCCATGGTCTTTAATAAATTGGAGAAAAAAAGTCACCATTTTAAAAATGTGAATGAAAATTAAGGAAATAGCAACATGTTTTAAAATAACTCAGTAGAAAACAGGACATGAGAAAATGAACATCTTTTTAACATTTCTTAAACTTCCATTTGTATTAGTGTAGTAACAAAAAGTAGACATTAATCCTATTAAGATGACACCTTTAATCATTTTTATTTATAAATCTGAACATTAGGTAATCGGATTTTAGGCAAGTATCAGCTTAGTTTATTTAAACAAATATATACTAAATAAAATGTGTCAGGCATTATGGTAAAGGGAATAAAACAAGCATAATTACCTTAGAGAAGAAGAACAAGAATTACATTATAATGAAGAATCTGAACCCCTGGAAAGCTGAAAATTGTCATTATCTTTGTATTGTCAGCACCCAGCTAGTATCTAGCACATCACTGAATATAGCAGAAAATGACATTTGTTGAATGACTCAATCAATTCTAGGTACATGGATTCTGAGAAAAGATTATGTTGGCAATCTCATAGGTAGAGAACATGGGTTCAGGGAACCTTATACTCTTTAGCAGCACTGCAGTTTGATCCATAGCTTCCCACAGGCTTTAATCACATCTGATAAGATCCTCTCAAATTAACAGTTGAATCCCTACTCTTTTGAAGTCCAATGCACTTATGAGTAAAGCAAAAAGATTAACTGTGGTTTGGAGTAAGGGATAGAGGGTCTCACCTCCAATTTAGCAGTGCCAACTATGAAAGGATATCTTCTTTCCATTGCTACTTAGCTCTGTCGAAATGACTTTATAATCTTAATTAATCAATAGCTTAATACAAATAACAAAATAAGAAAACTAACCTTCCACATCATCAGGGCTCCCATCATGAAAGGACTGAACACAGTCAGAAAGCAATAGACAGAGGCAAGATCAAAGCTAGGGAATTATAACAAGGAAAAAGGATTTAGAATTCACTCTGTAAGTTTAAAAGAATGTTCTTCTAAAAAGACGTTTAAACTAATTCTCTGAAATCTACTTGCTAAAACATAAGCAAACATCATATTAAGAAGCCACTAAAATGAACGCAGTAGATCTGAATGTGCCAATACATACCAATCTCCAAAATATATCATTCAGTATAAAAAGAAAGGTACAGGCTGGGTGCTGTGGCTCATGCCTGTAATCTCAGCACTTTGGGAGGCCGAGGTGGGTGGATCACCTGAGGTCAGCAGTTTGAGACCAGCCTGACCAACATGATGAAATCCCACCTCCACTAAAAATACAAAAATTAGCCAGGCATGGTGGTGGGCGCCTATAATCCTAGCTATTCGGGAGGCTGAGGCATGAGAATTGCTTGAACCCGGGAGGCGGAGGCTGCAGTGAGCCGAGATCACACCACTGCACTCCAGTCTGGGCAACAGAGTGAGACTTTGTCTCAAAAAAAAAAAAAAAAAAAAAAAAGGTAAGGTACAGAACAAAAGGTATAGAAGTCCCAGGTTGCATTATTTTTTGGTTATACATATGCCACTTTCATTTAAAATTACCTGTTAATAGAAGCTATATTTCCAGTTCCAAAAAATGCTGTCACTAAGAAGAAAACCTAAAGGAAGTCAAGGAAATGGCAAAACAACTCAGATTTCATACAAATTTCCTTTTCATTTGGAAAAGATATGCTAATTTTACCTTGAGAGTAATTTGCTTTTTTACTTGCATATTGACCATGAATTGTTTTCAGTGAACATTCCATTATATCTCCTTGTGAATGCATTTTAAAACAGCCAGACTGAAGAGGGAGTGTACTGAGAATAATGAGGCCTGAGAGGTCATCCTCACTCAGTCCCTAGTAACCTTAGGAAGGTTATTTTCCTCTTCCCTAACATGAGCAAGGTGGACCATATCTGTAGTTGGCTGCTAGTGATTTTTTTCAAAAGGAAAACGTGGATCTAGGGTATAACATAGACATTTTCAGCTGAAAGACACGGTTATAGTCTATATATGCTTGCTGTAAACCCACCACATGTTAAACACATGCTAGACTGCTTGAAAGGCTCAGGAAGAAACAAGCTATCATGTTTTAAAATAATTCAATAGAGAATGACACATGAAAAAACACTGAACATCTTTTTGACATTTCTTAAACTTACATTTGTATTAGTAAAGCAATAAACATTGATATCAACCTTAGTGTCCAAGAACTTACTGCTAGCAAAGCACTTAAAATGGTGCCTAGCCCACTGAAAGGGCTTGGTAAGTGTTAGCTCTTTTATTACTATAGATACCCACAAAAAATGGTGAAGCAACGCTGAAGAGGAAGTATGAATCATGACAATCTTCAGTGAAAAAGAGGCATTTGAGTTGGTGAGTTGAGCTTTAAATGTATTCATGGATTCAGTGATTCAACCAATCATCTAACCAACCAATGTTTATTGTCTAGTATATGTCAGAGATAGAGATAGGCACTAAGAATATAAACATAAACAAAATAGTCTCAAAATACTCCAATGGTGACTAAGATATGATGACAGAAATAGAGGAGAGACATTTTAAGGTAAAGAACAGTGAGAAAAAAATGACACCGCCAAGAAAGAGTAAAAAGGTTTGATAGATAGGAACTTAGACTTTATTGAAGGATATGGTGAAAGATGAAGCAAGAAATATAGATTAGTGGCATGTTAATAAAAAGCCTGAACTTGGCTGGGAGTGGTGGCTCACGCCTGTCCTCTAATCCCAGCACTTAGGGAGGCTGAGGCAGGTGGATCACGAGGTCAAGAGATTGAGACCATCCTGGCCAACATGGTGAAACCCCATCTCTACTAAAAATACAAAAATTAGCCGGGCATGGTGGCGCATGCCTGTAGTCCCAGCTACTCAGGAGGCTGAGGCAGGAGAATCACTTGAACCTGGGAGGCGGAGGTTGCAGTGAGCCGAGATCATGCCATTGCACTCCAGCCTGGCGACAGGGTGAGACTCCGTTTTTTGTTGTTGTTGTTGTTGTTGTTTTTAAAGAAAGCCTGAACTTCATTGTGGATACAGTGAAGAGTAGAAAATCTTTTAGGCTGGTGTTATAATCAAGAAACACCAGTAACTGTGTGATATTCAGATAAGGGAGACAAATAATTGGAGGCAGAAAATTCAAGTAGGGAGCAATTTCGGTAGTCCATATCAGAGATAAGGAAGTGTGAACTGATGCAGTGGGAATGAAGATCAAGAGTGAAGGGAGCCACAGGGACTTTAGAAGTGGACAAGGAGCAGTTAAATATGACAACAAGTTGGACGTCTTGGGGACAGGGAGTATGGTGATGCCATTAAATGAGATAAGGCCTGCCAGAGAGAGTGACTTTGAAGAGGAGTGGCAGTTGTTAATCAGTTTGGGACACATATTTGGTGATGCCCAGCAGAATGTTAGACATGTGGTCCTTCAGGTCACGAGAGAGGTCAAGTTTGGAAAAACAGATCTTAGAGTTGTTTGCAAAGAAGTGTCCACCAAAGTTACAGGAAAATATGGCATAAACCAGGCACAGTAAGAGAAGGTTAATGGTGGAGCATGGAGAAAAAAATATGCTGAAGATCAGGCAATGGAAGCAGTTATAGAGAAGAATAGAAATGATATAAAAATCTTAGAAGAAAACTTGTACTGTGTCCTGGATGTGAAGGGAAAAGAAAGAGAAAACATAGACTTGAATGTTAAAGTGTGGTCAGGTAAACTGAATAGATTTGAGGGATCAGGAAGCCCCTGCAGACCACTGACAGTACAACTTCGGCAGAGACATCTGACAAATACTGATAGAGCACTACTATGTGTCAGGCATTGTTAGAGGTCTGTGGACACGGTATATACATGGAGAGAAAATGATGGCAGCAACTATAAATTTTTCTTTCAAAAAATTAAACAGAAAGGACAAGATGAAATTATAATTTAGGGAAATGCAAGGATCAATGGGCAAAGTGCTTTATTAGTATTAGCTGATTGGAAAGAACCTGTAAAGAGAGAAAGAAAGCAAAACAGAGTGAAAGCGAGAGACAGAGAGGATGGAATATGTATTTTCTGTATCTGAGAGGTCTAGACTCTGCACCATGGACAGCTCAAAGGAAATGCCTCCAATACTTACAAGCTATGTATCTGATAAGGGGCTAGTATCCAAAACATACAAGGAACTCCTACAGCTAGCAAAAGTAAAATAGTCACACTTAGAAAAAGAGAGTAGAATGATGGTTGCCGAGAGGGCTGAGAGGAGAGGGGAAAGGGGAAATGTTGGTGAAAGGGTATGAAGTTTCAGTTGTGCAAGATGAATAAGGTCTAGAGATGAAAAGTACAGCATGGTGACTATAGTCAGTAATATTGTACTGTATACTTGAAATATGCTAAGAGAGTTGATCTTAAGTGTTCTCACTACAAAAACAGAAAGAAAAAACAGTATGTGAGGCAATAGATACGATCATTAGCTTGATTATGGTGATCATTTTACAATGTATACATATATCAAAACATCAAAATATACACTTTAAATATATGCAATTTTTGTCAATTATACTTCAATAAAGCTGAATAAAATAAAATAAAGGAAATACATCCCTATGATTTCTTGCAGCTAGTCAGTGAGCCTTTCCAAACTAAGACTTTCCTCTGCCATACTGTCTTTCAAACTTCTACTACTAACAACTTTCACAACATTGCCTCTGAGGTGATCCAAAAACCTTTGTGAGACAGATGTTATGTAATATGAGTTTAGAATAAAATGCACATAAAAAGATATGAACTCATAATTGTGCTTTCTTCCAGGATGAGAGAAATTAGATTGAAGTTGGGAGTTGAAAGACTTTAGCTTTAGCTCTAATGTTTTAATTTCTTAAAAACACATTTTTAAAAAAACATATGTGACAAAATACTAATGGCTAATATCTTGAATAGTAGGAACATATATACATACGTATCATTCTTTATACTTTTCTATAGTTCAAAAAATGTTTTTATGTGAATTACATGAGAAAACTATAGTTCAGGGAGGTTAAACTACTTAATACCACTATTAAGTGATGGGCAGAAACACCTTCCATGTCTTCTTACTCCATTAAGTGGGAGTTGCAGCTCTTTAAACCAAAGTCTCAACAAAGGATACAAGGAAAAAGGCCCTACGGATGTCATCCAGATATAGCTGTCGAAACTGAGTTATATCAGTATTATAAGAGAATTGGATACTGGTAAGCTGTGAGATAATAAGAAAAATATTAATGCACAATAACAGTTGACTTATTTCTATATTTGAAGGCAAACTTACAATGGCTAAGTTACAATGGCTAGAAACATGCCCTGTGTTGACAAAAAAATAAAAAACAATAAATCTTTCCCTAGGGTTTAATTACACCTTAACAAAATCTGTCAAAAAAAAAGGTAAAATAATAGATAGAATACAGCTGTAGTGTTGCTATATGTGTAATAAAAGTGAGAATTGAGCTTTTTCTTATCTTATAAAAATGCATCATTTTAAAATTACTATATAAATTCTTCTCTTTTCAAAGACTAATTTCTCAGAGTATCCTGATCATCTTAAACCTAGATATGGTATCATATTAAAAGGCATGGTAAAATTAAACGTTTGTTTATTTGTCCCTCTATTAATTCTATTTGCAGAGAAATTTTCTTTCTGTAAAAAAGCAACATATTCCCGTCTTTGGTAGAACAGAAAGCCACTCAATCCAACAAGGTGAGTGCACTCTTGCTTAAACACCTTCCACAAATAGAACACTAATGGGTGAATTTAAAGGTAGACTTTCCCCACTCCTACTTCCCATGTAATTTTCTAGTAAGTTCTTGGGATGTTTTAATACTCTTTTCTAGAAAGAGATACATTTGCTTTCAGTTAAAAACATAGAATTTAAAAAGTAACACAATAATCCTCAGCCTGATGAAATATTTAATATTAAGGGTAATCTCTGAGTATTTACATGAATCTGCTCAAAACTGCTTTTCGTGTATTACTTTAATATTCAAGGACTAAAAGTTTAAAACCAGTAATTATTAAATATGCCTCAACAAAGTTTCTTCTTTATTGAAATTAATCATTCTGAATTATCAATAACAATCTACAAACTCAACTGGAGCCAGATAAGGATGGATCAACTATGAAGGTATTTTCTGTAATATTCATTTTATGTGACCTTAGTAAAATTGTAAATAATCTATCACCAATTTCTCAGAATTACCATCAGCTCTAAATATAGACAAGAAACATCAATTTAATTCTATAGCCCACCATGATAAAGGTATCCTTAAAAATTGGTTGGATTTTAGCCAACTCAAAGTATTATGTGTTGCATAAACAATCTAAGATTTGGACTGAGGCCACAATCATTAAGGCAGCAGAATAAGCAATCTGGATTAAGATGACCAGAAAGAGAAAAACAATAGAAACTTAAATGTCACCTTATAATCAAATTCATAAACTGACTTGTGACAACATAAAAATTCTTCTAAGATAAATTGACGGAAGGAAAAATTGGATGTGAAATATGAAAAAAAAGTAAAAAGCATTCTTTTCTCTATTCCTTCACTTATATTGACATTTTTTAAAATCAATGATTCTCAAGTAATCACTAAGAAAAGCCCAACCTACACAACAACAAAATTGTGCTTTTCTGTGATAAGTAAAAAATCTTCCTTACCAATTATTAACTTAATTAATGCCAAACAACCAAAACTTTTTAACACTAAAATTTTAAGGAGAAAGAATTTTTGAAATAACATTGCAACTTCCTTATAGGATAGAGACTAATAGTCTCAAATAAAAACAACAATGACTTTGACCAGTTACCTTTTGTTTACAGCAAACACCAGATTGTTGTAGAGTTTCTTGTTCTATGTTTATCCAGACAAACATCAAACAAAACAATACTAGTGGAAAGACAGCTTCATACCTAACAGGTGGGGAAAGGTAGAAATGAAAAGGAAAAAACAGTAAAATAAGTAAAAATGCAAATTTACACTGAGGTCTTTCTCAAAATTAAAATAATTTGATAATACTTCTAAGTCACAATATTATAAAACTTAAATTTTCTAGGCTTTCCAGAAGAAGAAAGTAGGAAACTAATATTTAAATTTTAACCCCAACATCATCTTTTTTGAGTGACATGAAATCTTGAGATAATTATGTGTTTAAAATAATAGAAATATATAAAAGTCATTCATAAAGCAAATGACAGATACACATAAAAGAGAAAGAAGGCATGAAGACAAAGGTAAAAAGATAATTCTTGAGGTAAAATTATTAACATACATAGAAGAGGAAGAGGAACACTCTAAATTTTCAAAAAACTGAGTACAACAAGAACACAAACATGAAAATTGTTTGACCTTATTGATAACATATGGAAATTAAAACAATGGTGATATATCATATTTGCCAATATTAAAACAACAGTGTTGGCCGGGCATGGTGGCTCATGCCTGTAATCCCAGCACTTTGGCAGGCCAGGGCAGGCAGAACACGAGGTCAGGAGTTCGAGACCAGTCTGGCCAGCATAGTGAAACCCTGTCTCTACTAAAAATACAAAACATTAGCCGGGTGTGGTTGTGTGTGCCTGTAATCCCAGCTACTCAGGAGACTGAGGCAGGAGAATCTTCTTTGAGAAGATTCTGTCTCAAAAACAAAACAGTGTTGACAAGAGGGCAATGAAAAAGGAACTCTCATATGCTCTCTATGGGAATATACACTTTCTGGAAGACCATCTGATACTATGTATTAGAATCTCAAAAATATTCATATACTATAATGCAATAAGGCCATTTCTAAAAGTTTACCCTGAGAAAATAATCAGACATGTGCTACAATTTCCATTATAAAGATATCTGTTGTAACACTGGTTACAGAAGGGGGAAACAGAAAACAACCTACATGTCCACAGGGGAATGATTAAATGCGTGGTGCACCTACAGGCTGGAGTGTAAAATGGACACAAAAACAAAGGAGAAATGCTCATGAGACAACACAGTGATAGAAGCCTTTTCTAAATAGTTTCCGCTTTGTCTGGGGTAAATGTTCCACCTTCATAATCCCTAAATGCTCTATTATAGTACTTACACCGTCTTAATCACATGTTTACCTGTATGCATCTATTATTACTTTATAAAATCTTTGAAAACCAAGTCTGTGTCTGTCTCATCACCACTGCTGGCCCAGCTCACAAATATTTGCTGAGTGAGTTATTTATCTAATCAGAAGTTACAAAACAAAACAAAGACTTATTTCCTTTTTGAGTCTTTCAACTACCAAACTCTACAGCATATGGCATTATTTCCTAAAGATGAGAAAGTAAAAAAATTCCAAACACTTTAAACACTATTACAAATTATAAAATTATAACACTGAAAACTGGGCAGAAGAAAAGATTCAGGTTTCAGAAAACATACACAAATCACTTGATATATAAGACTTAGAAGGCCCAGGGATATGAACAGATACTACACACATGAGAAAATAGCATGAGTAAAACAAGTACAGAAAACTGTGCAAAGCAGTGCCATATCTGACCTCTTAATATAACGTTTGATATTCTTATTTAAAAATGGAAATACCAAATACTGTTACATATTTGTTACAGATACGATGAAATAGTACTCCTCATATATAGTTTGTTGTAGATATTATACATTGGCACTGTTCTTAAGACAATTACAAGTTAAAAAAAGAAAGTTCATACCCAATGGCCCACATACACTATATGAGAAGTGAACAAAGGAAATAATCCAGACTATGAAAAAGCTTATGCATAAAAACATAACTCAAAATATTATGTGTAATAATAAAAAGTTGAAATAAAATCCATATCATGAAATATTAAATATCTATTAAAATGGTGGCTAGGAAGCCTATAAGCCACCTAGAAAATGCTTCTGAAATAATGTGAATTAGAAAAAAAGATCCAAAATAGAACATGTACTGCAATTAATTTTATGTTAAAAAGACAAATATGGGGGGGGTAACACCAGAAAGAAATATACCAGAACATTAATAAGAGTAGAGTTAATACATGATTTTATCCCTTATCCCTACTTTCCATAATGTGATGACTCTATATGTCCAGTGATTTTTTAAAAATTGAAAAATAAATATTTAGAATGCTTGTATCCCTGGCCTTTCTTTAAAGTTCAGTTCAATGTCCTTGATGGCACTAACTCAGCTTTCCTATTCAAGCTCTTTCTCTAGTCAGTCTTCGTTTCATACAACACATAACTTCATTAGCTCACAGTAACTTCATTGTTTGATTTTGTAATTGCCTAACACTGTAAAATACAGCTCTTATTTTATAGCAGCTTATAACTCTATTGTACACCAGTATTACACTAACGGTTCTCTCTGTGTGTCTGCAGAGCGCTCTGGACACTGGATATATGAAAGAAAAAACAACTGTTGATTAATTGAATCAAGGTACATACTCTGAACAAAAGGGGACCATAATTTTTTTAAAGATTTGCAGTTATATATGAAGTTATTGTTTCCTAATATTTAAAAACATAAATGTCATAGTTCTACAAATAGTAGAATTTATTTCCTTTTAAAAAACTATACATTATGATAATTTTCTTTTGTAAAATGTAGATGAATAAACCAGATAAAGATAATCTTCCTATGGGACTTTATCTCTTAAGACAATCAATATTTTGTATAAAGTCTGTATATCTGCATTAATAAACTGAAATATCAATGAAATGTCATCACAGGCTCAGGGGGAATATAATGAAAACTTACTAAATTAGGATCTGCTGGTTTGGTCTCTGTGCAAATTGAATAGGGCTGACAAGGCATTCAGCTTTGTATTATAGTTTGCTAAGCAAAGGAATAATGCAAAGAAAATTTCAAAGGGAAATGTGTAACCAGCACTAACCAAGAGAACAAGCTATTTTCAAGTATTACAATAGCTCCATTTGCATAAAATAATTAAGTGCTGATTAAAAATGAATCTTCTTTATTCATTAAATCAAGAATGCATTGTAAGAATGTAGGATTACTATTGTTGTATTTCTATATTATAATATAACTATATTTCTTTTAAATATTCTGTAATTCTGAATATTCAATAATTTACACAGAGAACCCTCCAGGTCATCCAAAATGGGTAAGGCTGAATCATAACAGGTGGACTATGTTTTGCAAAACTGATTTGACAGAGAAAATGTACTGATTGAAATGACTGAATTGTGCTATTTCAAGATACTCTTTTCAATTTTTTTTGGCAAAGCTAGATACACTTTCTGATGTTGAATAATATATCTCTTAATGAATTCATTAATAAGGTCATGTAGTGCCTTATTCTGATTTTAGGTATAGATTTTCCCTTTTTAGATTTTCTTAAGTTATGATTCTGATTATGCTTATTATGATAATTTGTTTTGGCATCTCCTATGACTATTAAATTGATGATTTAAAATACTATGTAAGTTACATGATTAATCATGCTACCTTATGAAATAGTTTTTTTACTCAAAATTAAACTTCAGTTATCTTTGTTTCTTGATCTCCTTTTCTAATCCAGCAAATCAGATCTATTTTTATACTTGTTTACATTTTTTAATCAACTACACATCCCTTTAAATCTGTTTATTGTTTTAGAATTTGAAAGTTCAAAAAAGAGAAAGGCCTATTGATTAAGAGACTGTACAGAAGTTAGTACATATTTCTGGACACTTTCAAACATTTATTTCCTTAAATCAACCTCTGGGTGTAATCTCTTAATAAAATTCATGAGTCTCCCTGAAATGGTAGGTTAGAATAGAAGTTATTTTAACTTCTGCTTTCTTATATAGATCAAAAACTTGTGCATAGCCAAATTCATTTTTACTCTCATAGATTCTAATTTAACAAAATTATTTATCCTGAAATTTCACTAATAAAGGGGGAAACTGTAAAAGATTTTAAGCTCTCATGTTCATCACTCTTGAATAACAGATGCTCATAAATTTCCAGTTTTATTTTAAAGTTCTATTTCAAAGGTCTAAATCTCAAAGAAAGCCTCTCTTAAAATCTTGTTAGGTAGCTGGTAAAAAGTTCCATGACATTTGTATCACATCTTCAGAGCTGTGGCCCACATCTGGTTAGGCAGGGGGAAGGGAAACAAAAGGAGATAGACAGCTTTGGTGAAAAAAAGGTTTAGGGCCCCACTGGATCATCTCTTATATGAGACTACAAGAACTCCTGAGGTCTAGGTCACTTAGGGTGCTAGGGTCTACTGTGGGAAGACTTTGAGAACACCTCTAATTTTGAATTATGACAACTAAGTTTCCAAAAGGGAGAACCTGAGCCTTAGACCCCAAATGGCTTTACAAAATCATTTGAACTGTGAATAATCTCATAGCATAATGGTGAATCCCTAGGTTTAGTCTAACTTCGATCAAGATTCTGTATTTGCGCTAAAATTCAAACTGTGTATGAGTGGTGTTTATTCACTGTTTGTTCTAGTCATTGTTTGTTATAATGTGCACATTTCTTATCCTCATAAAGATTTAAGTAAGGACAAAATTCAAAAACAAAAAAAGAATTCTTCAAAGATAACAGACAGAGTACATCCCTGTCTTCACTGAGTTCTAGAAAATGCTTTGGGATTCACCCCAAGTCAAGCTGCTGATTTTTTGTTTTCTTTTGTTTTGTTTTGGTAAGCAAATTTCAGTCTTAAACAAAAATCTTTAAAAGTTTTGGGAAAATATTCTGAAGGTTCTCTGAATCAAATGAACATTTGAATTGTGAGATGTGTAAGATTTTAAAAGTACTATATTCAAAGAAGAATTGCCAAATCAAAGCATAATTTAAGATGGATACAAGGAATGCAATAAAAAATAAAAGTCAATGAGACTTAAAATTCTTCCATAATCAATCAGAATTTTCTAACATTATAGTTAAGTGATATTTTAGCAACTTCAGAAAAGAGAAACACAAAGATAGCAAGCAATACTATGAAATGGATTAAAAAAAAGAAAACAGAAGATTACAGATCAAGTCAGATATAGTTCTCACTGAGAAGTAAATATTTATAATGTATCCCTCAAGATTTAGAAAACATTTTTCATTTCCAGAAGTTAAACACTAATAGAGAAAATACCAATATATCATTTAAAACTTGCTGCTATAAAATTAAATTGTTAAAAAGTTTATACCCTGTGCTTAGAAGTAGGTAGGTTGACATCAATGAAAGAAGTATGCTGAACAATCGCTGAAAGACAGCTGGAGAACTCAGTAGTGGCACAAACAAGGAAGAGGCTGCAACGAAACAAAACAGGTCATTTGTCAGTACAAGAGACACAAAAAAATGTTAGTGTAGAGCCAGGCATGGTGGCTCACACCTGTAATCTCAGCACTTTGGGAGGCTGAGGCAGGTGGATCACCTGATGTCAGGAGTTCGAGACCAGCCTTGCCAACATGGTAAAACTCCCATCTTTACCAAAAATACAAAAATTAGCCGGGTGTGGTGGCAGGCGCCTGTAATCCCAGCTACTTAGGAGGCTGAGGTAGGAGAATTGCTTGAACTCGGGAGGCGGAGGTTGCAGTGAGCAGAGATTGCACCATTGCACTCCAGCCTAGGTGACAAGAGTGAAACTTCATCTCAAAAACAAAAACAAAAAAAGTTACCGTAGAAGCCCTGAATAATCTAGTATCATTTACGGCATTTATTGCTTTGTGACCTTGAACATGAGGCTACATTTCCCCTAATTATAGTCAAGCCTCACATTTTTAATTAATATTACATTTCATTGTTTTAACTATGCTCAGATTTTCTCAATTTATATTCAGCTCAGATCACTGTAATAATATTAACTCAAAAATGAATTATTTTCTAATGAAATAAAAGTATTACTCAAGATTTAGCACCCTTTGCTTAATTAGGCATTTATATCTTAGTTCAAAGACAACTTACTCCTCAGAAACTGATTTTTTCCTAACCCCTTCCTTCTCCAAGTTTTCCCACTGTAAAGTATGCACTGACAGTTGCAGTATGCCCCTTGGAAAAGAGAACAGGAATGAGTTCACCATGCATGAGAGTTGTATTAACTCTCCCCCAGGATAATAAAAGGAACTACCCAAGCGGAGGAAGGGCAGATGAAGTGGGTGGGGTGGCAAAATGTAAACTCCTCCATCCCTATTCTGGGAAGGAAATGTGCGTAACTTCCTAATCCCCCTAGTGCTCTAGAGTTTGAAGATAGACAAGTTGGGATGAAATCCCGGCTGAATCACTTACTAATTGCTCAAACTATAGGGCAAGTTCATTAACTGATCTAAGCAGAAATTTACCCACCTATCAAATAGAGATGACATTGAAAAGTTGTGAAGATTAAATACAATTTCACCTATACAATGTTCGCTGAGCATAGTGCCTAGCACATAGTGCTTAGTAACTGTTAACTGTGGTTATTATTATTAGTCAACATCTTCTAAATTAATTTACATGTAATGTCAATTTCATCTAAAGTCAAGTCACTGCAAGATTTAAGACTATGAAGTTATATTTTTAATACCCTTACATCAGTAGCTTCTGACTTTTTTCCAGATGTGTAGTTCCGATCATAATCAACTGATACATATTTTAACTGGAAGAAATAACATTTCAATATCTCTGATTTTAAAAGTCAGTTAATCTGTTGGACAAATGATGGTTGTTAAAAAATAAAAAATAAATAAAAAGTAAATAATAAAAGTCAGTTCAAATGACACCTCTTCCGTAAAACTGTACACATTTTCTGTCCTTGTTCTACTTTGGTCTAAATGCTTGACAAGGTACTAAAGGGGAAATAAGAGTCTCTATTCTAAATGACATAAGTAGAACCAATTTCAAAACGTACCGTCCATTTGGAGATCATAGCATATTAAGCAAAAATGCTCATTAAAGCTAGACCATGGTGTATCTGTGCCTAAAAGAGATCTTTGGAGATACTGATGACTTACCTATGAGTTAACTTTATTTCATGTCTTACATCATTTTGTAGGTATCCTCTAGAAGCTAGCTCTACCAATACCAAGAAGGAAAGATCTTGTTTAAAATACATGCCCAGAGAAACTTTCATGTTTGGAGAACAACAGCAATAAACTGATTCTAAATCTCTTCCTCACCATTCCAAAACAATAATCAAATAAACAAGGACAATTAAAAAAAACCATACAGGATACTCCAAATAGAGAAAGAAGCATATAAAACACTGCATAATGTATAAGTGTGCTCTACTACAACATAAGAAGATTTGACAGAATCTTATTGACAGAATCTTCAATTTGTTGTAGTAGAGCACACTCACACATTATGCAGTGTTTTATATGCTTCTTGAGAACAAGCCTAAGAGTCATGTTAGTAAACATGAATGAGCTCAACTCACCTTTTTATTTAAAAGAAAAAAAATTGTGGAATTGGCACATAAAGCAAAACCTAACTCTAGGCAGAACACAGGAACTAAACTTAAAACACAGTGATTCTAAAAGGCTAAAAATAAAGGCTAATGGAAACAGTACAAAATCTAGAGTTGCAATCCTGATACCAAAGTATACTTTAGACCAAAAACAATCAATAAGGAAAAGAAGAACACTTTATGATGTTAAAAGTGACATTCCACAATGATAATGTAATAGTTATGAATATTTTGCTGCAAACAACATAACCTAAAACAAAATTATGACATCCTTCACAGAAATAGAAAATAAAATCCTAAAATTCATATGGAACCACAAAAGACTCTGAAGAGCTAAAGCAATCCTGAGCTTTTAAAAAGAGAACAAAGCTGGAGGCATCATGAAGTCATGCTGAAGGCATGATTTCAAAGTATACTACAAAGCTATAGTAACCCAAACAACATGGTACTGGCATAGAAACAGACACATAGGTGAATGGAACAGAATAGAGAACCCAGAAATAAATCCACACATTTATAGCCAACTCATTTAGACAAAGGCACCAAGAACATACATTGAGGAAAGGACCGTCTCTCCAATAAATAGTGCTAGGAAAATGGAATATCCATATTCAAAACAATAAAACAAGACCCTTATCTCTTACCACATAAAAAAGAAATCAACTCAAAATGGATTAAAGACTTAAATGTAAGACCTGAAACTATGAAACTACTAGAAGAAAACATTGGGAAAACACTTCAGGACAGTAGTCTGACAAAGACGTTTTGGGTAAGACCTCAAAAGCACAGGTAACAAAAGCAAAAGTAGACAAATGGGATTATATCAAGATTAAAAGCTTCTGCATAGCAAAGGAAACCATCAACAGAGTGAAGAGACAACCTACAGAATGGGAGAAAATATTTGCAAACTACCCATCTGACAAGGAATTAATAAACAAAATATATAAAAAGTATAAACAATTGAACAGCAAAAAACCTATTAATTCAACTAAAAAATGGGCAAATGATCTGAGTAGACATTTCTCAAAAGAAGACGTACAAATGGCCAACAGGTATATGAAAAAATATTCACTATCGCTAATCTTCAAAGAAATGCAAATCAAAACCACAATGAGATATCATCTCGCCCCAGTTAGAACTGCTATTATCAAAAAGACAAAAAATAGCAGATGCTGGCAATGATGTGGAGACGGGGGAAACTTTGTACATTGTTGGTGGGAATGTAAGTTAGTACAGCCATTCATGAGGGGTGGGCCCCCATGACCCAAAAAACAAAAATCATAAAAAGCGTATGTCAAATTATTCACTGGCATTACAAAGTGTCTTCTCTGAACAAAAAACTTGGGCTCAAAACTTGCTCTTGTCTTCCAACTGGAAGGGAAAACCTAAGTCCTAAAATTACATGTTTGCTTCACACATATATTTCAACATTCTCAATTAAGAGGACTACATAGAAAAATATGCTTTCAAATGTCTAACTAGCTTTAAAAAATATGTAAGGTATACTAGTCGATGTTATTTTCAGGAAGGGAAACAGATAAAATGTAAACATTTCCCAGTCCCTGTGTAAGAACAGAGAATTTATGAATTGGCATGAAAATGAAGCATAAGATCCTCTTCACCCTTTTCTCTTTTGGAATCACTTAGTCAAATCTTATAAGACGTTAATAAATACATAGCTTTATTATCAGGTCATAAATATTCTATCCAATTATCTTAGTAACACATGCATGCACATGAGAATTCTCTTTGTTAAATTCCAGCAAGAGTTAGAAATAATAGCTCGTTATTATTATTTTCCTGCAACAAAATCATTTCTTTCAATAACAATGATACAGACATAAACAGATCATTTAAAAATAACTAAGTTGATATCAAATTACCTCACTTGGTTTGAGTGGCCTCTTACCTAATGTTGCCCAGCTAATAATTTGATTCATAAGAGGCAGTCCTTGCTTCCTAAGTAGACTACTCTGGGTGCTATACACAACATACATGGAGAGCACTGTGCTCAGCACCTAAAGACAAAGATGAAATAAGTTAAAAAAAGGGAAGGTAGTGAAAGACTATAACTAGCAAGAACGTAAGATAGTCTTATTTCTGAGATGTTAAAATCTGGAAAAAATGTGTATCTTGGAATCATTGAAATACAGTGGACAGTACAGGAACTGATGCAAGTTAATAAACCTAATGCAAAAATGAATTTTGTAACAGAGTTACCTAATACTCAGGGGTATGTCTAACAAAGCACATAAGAATGTTAGCATGATATTCTTGGCTACCCTAGAGAGAGATCCAGAAACATTCACTTCTGTGGAAGCACTCATTATTCTGGATACATTCTGTCAAAGCTACTACGGCTTAAGTGTAAAGCCAGTCAGAGTACCATTTAAAAAGAAACATATGTTTCAATGGCTTGACAGGATTTTTGACAAAAAATTTCTTCTCTTTTTATAAGTTCCCTGTCGCTCTCCAAGAATGAATTTAACTTGTGATGTAATCTTTCAAATGTTGTGTATTTTTATTTCAGAGTGTTCTTGGAAATACCATCTACTATCCCAGCTCTATTCTTGAGGAAATTTTTTAGAAGACTCATATGAGTTTTGCTTTTTGTCTGTGATCTAAACATGGTTATTTATTTATTTATTTATTTATTCATTCGGTTAAAAAGAAAAACAGATGTTTTCCATCCTTATCTATGGAAAAAGTTGTCATTTTATAGACTATCACATGATACGATGTTCGTCACAACCCTATTAGATATTATCTCTACAGATTAAAAACAAACTGAAGTGGCTGGGTGTGGTGGCTCATGCCTGTAATCCCAGGACTTTGGGAGGCCGGGGCCGGTAGATCACCTGAGGTCAGGAGTTCAAGACCAGCCTGGCCAACATGGTGAAACCCCGAGTCTACTAAATATACAACATTAGCCAGGCATAGTGGCTCACGCCTGTAATCCCAGCTACTCAGGAAGCTGAGGCAGGAGAATCGCTTGAACCCAGAAGGAAGAGGTTACAGTGAGCTGAGACTGCACTACTGCACTCCAGCCTGGGTGACAAGAGCAAGACTCCATCTCAATAAACACACACACACACACACAGAGAAATCAAATTACTAAAAAGTACCCATCTAATATGTAGCGTAACTGGGAACTCACTCAATTTTGAAACATCAAGTTAAAAGTTATTTTCACCACACCAAAGCCACTAACCATGCTGAAGTTTATTTTCACCTGGGACATTAACTGAAGTCTTAAACTGGCTATTCTTAATATAAACACACCCCAGGCTGCTTTCACTTCAAAGAAGTGACCTTCCCTGACCCAAATGAGGACAAGGTAGAATCTCAGTCCAGAGGAAGCCCTTTTCAGTTCAACTTTTTATCAATACAGGTGTCCCTTCAGTTTCGGCAACCTCTGCTCTTCAGGCATCACTGGGCTGCCTCTTACGGACCTTGTGCTATTTCATACCTCTTAAAGAACACATTTCCATGTAGCATCTTAAACGGAAAGCTTTCTTCTCAGCTGGCAGATACTAAGTAGCATAAAGGTAATGGCATTTTATGAACATAATTAAATATAACCATAGGATACATTTTTGGTATATCATTAGTATAACATAGTATTGAAAATCTGTAACAGACCTGTAATAGATGTACCAACAGCTCTTCCTTTCTAAAGCTATCTTTTCTTTTCATGAGAGATGTTACAACACACAGGGATAGCAGAAGAACCAGCAAGCCTGCACCCATCCTGTTTTGAAATACAATTCACAATTTTAAATTTTCTTCAGATATTTACTGAATACGTATCAGATGGAACTATGAGACATCTAACTCTAATACAGAACCTCTCAGTCATTTGGCTTAATTAAGAGGAAGTAGCAAAAAGGGTACATTTTAAGATTTTTAAGAAAACTTTTAAGTTTAAGATTTTAAGAAAACTTAAAATCTTAGGATAAAGATACTGCTGGATGTGGTTATTTGCAACTCCTCCCCACAATTTTTGAAGTATGTCTACCTTACTTCTATAATTTAATTTTAAAAAATTTTAGGCACATCAAATACTATAATATGTAGCCTGAATTGGGTAAATTCACAAAAATTTACAATATAAAGCATAACTAAACAAGTATATTATCAGTATCTACAACATGTATTTTGTGATTATGAAACTTACTCATGCAAAAAGTATCTACATATATAACCCCTATTATTTCTAGCAGGAAAAACAGCTCCCTTCTGTGACAGACCTTGGTATTTTCCTCAGCTGCTCCTGGCTGAGGGAAGAGGTAGGCAGTGGTCACATGGGTGGCATGCAGGTGAGGTATTTGTACAGTAATGAAACAACAAATTACACCTTTCAAGAACACCAGGTATAGTATGTTTCCTAAAGTCAAAGGTGACTGATCCCAGGGAAATAGTGCCCTACTGTTGAGCTCTGTCTCACCTCCTTAACATCTGAATAACATAGTACAGCCAAAATGATGCTGAGGATGAAATCCGGAACCCAAATAGAACTAAGAGAAAAGGAATTGGTTGAAGAGAAAAAAGAAAGAGCAAAAAGCAGAGCTGGACACCTAAGAAGAATGCAAAGCAGGAATCCCCAGAAAAATGCTTGATGGTTGTTGCTGATGCTTCAAATACAATCTTTGAGAATCCTAAGGAGAAAGGTAATCATATATTCAACATGGATTATCATTAAAATTTAGGAAAAAATAGTCACATATGACCAAGATTCTTTGCTTTTTCTTTTTCTCTTTCTTAAGTTTTAAAATACTTTGGTATTTAAATTTATTGGCATATATGTTTTTACTTTAGAACACTGGAGTACCAGACATTACAACTATGTTGTACACATGTTTGCTTTTTCCTTTAATTGTATCCTTAAATGTTTCATAAAATAACATCTTTGTAATTTTCTGAAGAAGGGAGATGCTGTGACAGATGAAAAGGAGAGTAGAAGTTTCCCCATGAACCAGGAATCAAAATAAATAAGTTGCAAATATAGCTAGTAGGATAAACTTAAAATCACTGAGCAACTTAAATTTAGAGGGAAACAATATAATTTTCTAAAATATAAATTAGATTTCTCATATTTTAACAAGTTTATTTGCTTCCCACATTCATCCTTAATAGAATATGCAAGTGGCAAATTTATACAATTTCCTTCCCTTTGAGCATATGCTAAATTCTGCTCAACTATGCCAATACTGCTTGAGCAGGACTGATAGGCAGAGACTGATGAAGGGAAGGAAAGGGGCTTTATAGAAACGTTACAAGAGCTTACAGAGCAATCTGAAGCAAAAAATAAATGAAAATATTTGAATTCATTTTCTCACATACTACTCATAGGTTACGAAAGTTGCAAAATATTTTGACTTAGTAACACTCCAATGAAATATGGCTTAGATAGTATGATGCTAGAATTCAATACAATTATTTTGAGCTCTGCTAATAAATTGACTTCCTGGGATAATTCCTGATCTATTCCATATTGGTAGTCTCATATAAATAGGAGAAAATGTATAGAATCTCATAAATCAGCACATATTTTTACAAAATATTATTTCGCTAATCTTCCTTGATTTAAAAATATATACCCGTATCCATCACAGATTTGGTTAAAATGTTTTTAAAAACGCTTATAGCGTTCTGAAGAAAGTAACAAAGATGATTTAATTTCTAATTCCCATGATTAGAAAATAAGAGAGGAAATGTTAAATGAAATAATGATCACACACACACTCAAACAGCCCATAATTTACTTGACAATAAAGTGCAGTTAAAAGCAAAGGTAACCAGTTATTTTATAGATTTATTTAGGTCTACTGAAGACAAATAAATATAGCAGCCATAGTAGGGAATTTAGGTAAGATATGCAGAAGAATTTTCAAACAATTTGAGTGGTTAAACATGGGAAAGCTGGCAAGGTAAATAGAGTTTCCTCCCACAGAGATCTTTACATTCAATTTAGAATAGCAGAAAATTTAATTTTTGCATGACATTTTAGTGTGGACATGATTGAAGCAAAGAGGGCTAACACAGTATCTTTGAGACCTTTCTGTTTCGGCAACAGAACTTTTTTTTCATATGAAACTAAAACTTTCACTGATTCTTCCAAGTATAAAAGAAAGAAAACCTTCTAGACTTAAACAAACAAACAAACAAAAAAGGGGAGCATTTTAAGTTATCAGTGGCACAATTTCATTAGGAAAGCCCGGAAGCATCTACCAGGAGGTTTAATGACTCTTAGAACTTAGGCTCAACTCATGACGAATGGTTTGATATTGGTATTTTAAATTCCCATTAGTTCACATGATTTTAAATTCTTGACTAAGATTAGGTTCAAATTTTACAGTGTTAATTGAGGAAAAAAAGAAACTGTATTGAAAAGAAAAGAAAATACAGTATTATTCATACACTAGAAAGATGTCTGGCTTTCGACCTACAACCGGCATCAGTGGGAACACCGCCAGGAGCACAGAGAAGAAAGCCCAACTCAGTGAGGTCACCTAAAATCAAGAAGAAAGTTATCTTTAGACAAACAGGGTATAGAAAACTACCATCAGTGTTTCACAGGCTATATGACTGTGAAGGTAAAAGGAAAATGCAAAGTCTTACAGCTATTTATTATTTTATTTTTCAAATACTTTCTAGCAGAATCAACAGCTAACTACTTTAAAAAGTAATAGTTACTATTTGTGAAGGACCTGTTGCATAGCAGGTATAGTATTAGGTGTAATATGAGCATTTTCTCATTTAATTCTCACAATAACCTCCAGAGGCAGATATTATTCTTCCCAATGCATCAGATGATGAAACAGAGCTCAGAGAAGTTAAAATATAAGTAGTACCAGGTCCATGACAAGTAAATAAAATAACCAGGATTTAAACCTGCATAAAGTGCTTCACTCAATTTATGTTAGACCATGTATTGATGAAGACATCTACAAAAAAGGGGCCTACAATAATCATCAAACAATTGAGCCCAGAAGGAAAATAAGTAAAACTACTTTTGTAATTAGATTAAGACCCCTCACAAATTAAAAGATCAATAATCCCATTCTTTGAAGTTTTCTTTATAAATTCTCAGAGTAGAAAGAAGATATCTTCCTGCTACTTCTATCAAAAAGTATGAAAGTGGAAATAGGAGAGCATTCTTTGTAGAAGCACATTGTAATTCCCTACCTAGCTGAAGGAAGAAAATCAAGACTCAAAATATTTTAATAATTTAATAATTATATATCTATAATAAATACATACTTCTCCAGGAAAAAAAAAAAAAACTGAGTGTTTCAGAGTAAGGAGGGAGATGTCTCCTGTGACTCAAGTTCAGAGTGCAGACCCCTAAGCCACTGGGCTGTGCTGGGCGACTCCTCTCCTGGTCCATTATCAAGATATTTGAAGCTAAACAAATCCAAGAAGTGCTTCAGAGATAGACATATCAGTACAACTTATATAGCACCTCAATTACCACATAACTGGCCCATTTTGATGTGAAAGTCTAAGTGAATTACTGAAACCTTACAGGTAATGTCAGTCATCCTATCAATATGAGTAGGCTCTTTTATGTAAGAACACATTCTACCCTTTTCTTTAAAAATAAACAGTTCCTTAAGTTACATACGTGTCAAAACAAAGTAGTTACTAATCTGTCCTATGTCAAAATGAGTACTCATACCTTTGCTCGAGTCCACAGCCGAGTGAGAAATGGCCAAACCGCAAAGGCAGTAAGTCCAGCGGTAAGCATATAGCGGTAGAAAAAACTGAGAACCTAGTAATGCATTCCAAAGAAGGAATGAAAAATAAGGTCATTTAGTACTAGTTACAAATATATAAAAGAAATTTGCAAATGTTGTAATCTGATAAGTTACTTACTAATACTTCAATGCCCAAGGTAAAGACTAACAGGTACCCAACAAAATGGCTCAGAGGATAGGTCAACAGTGATGTGACAAGGTCCTGAACAACTTGAAATCTGTTTCAAATAAAAAGACTGATTGAATTTTAAAGTCAGGTCATACATAGTATAAAAATACAAACTTTGCACAAAGCTAAAACACTAGAGAATTTTCCATTTATAGATTATTCAAAAACTAAAATAAACTCTAACGGATTTGTTTCAATGGCTTTACTTACCTAATTTTTTTTAAAATCTAGAAGTATTTTAGGGAAAATGTAATTTCTGAATTAATTTGAAAATGATTGGCCAGGCGCCGTGGCTCACGCCTGTAATCCCAACACTTTGGGAGGCTAAAGAGGGCGGATCACCTGAGGTCAGGAGTTTGAGACCAGCCTGGCCAACATGGTGAAACCCCATCTCTACTAAAAATACAAAATTAGCCAGGCTTGATGGCACATGCCTGTAATCCCAGCTACTTGGGAGGCTGAGACAGGAGAATCGCTTGAACCTGGGAGGTGGAGGTTGCAGTGAGCTGAGATGGTACCATTGCACTCCACCCTGGGCAACAAGAGCAAAACTCTGTCTCAAAAAAAAAAAGAAAAGAAAAGAAAATTATCACAAAAGTTTGCTTGGTTTTTATAAGCATTAATGACAATAAATGAATCTTGTTTGATCTTAGTTTAAATATGGGTTCATACAATTACAGATGCAACATCAGATATAAAACACAATGAATCTAAATGCATATAAACTGAAAAATTTTTAAAAATTCACCCAAGTAATCCTATATTTAAATCTTAATGAAATAAAGGTAGGGTTTCCTAATCCAGTTAGGGAAAAATCTTAATTACATTTTTTAACTGAGCTAAATAACCTTTTCCAAACCCAATTTAAGATGTCACTAATTGTACACTAATTACAATTAGGTGAACCCATCACCATCAAAAATGTATTACATACTTGAGTACTTTTTATATTTTATCACTAGAAAAAAAAGTTAACATTTGTAGTGCATTATTAAGTAAGTAATTTTAGAAGGTCAGTATTATTTGGTTTATGACCTTTCTCTGATTGAAAGCAACGGCTACAGAATTTCATCAAAACAATGAAGGTGCCATGTAGGAAAGAAAAGCTAACACCAGTCAAAAGGGAAGTTTTCTGTTCTTCTTAACAATGAATAAGCACAGAGAATCAAGAGATAATTTTGTAAAATCATTTAGAAGATCGTGAATTTTTATGTCTTTTTCCTATATAATCTATCAAAAAGATAAAGATAGGACACAACATACTTTCAAAATCACGTTTTCCTTAAAATTTAAATATATATGTTTTCTTCATAAAGGACATTTAATAATTCAGGAGAGGTTCTGTACTAGATACGATTTTCTGCAAGGACAAAACATTTTGTTCTAAAAGTTTAAAAACCAGACTAAATGACATTTTTAAAAATTTGAGGTAAATATGCATATGCAACAATCCTATTCCTTTCAAATGGAGAGGTAACAGTATGTTATTTGATCAATGCCTTTTTGTCTTATAGTTAACATTTTAAGCATTTTAATATTAATATTAATTTTTGATATTTTTAAGTTGTTATTATTTTTTTTGGAGACAGAGTCTCACTCTGTCACTCGGCTGGAGTGCAATGGTGCAATCTTGGCTCACTACAACCTCTACCTGCTGGATTCAAGCAATTCTCATGCCTCAGCCTCCTGAGAAGGAATTACAGGTGCATACCACCACGCCCAGCTAATTTTTGTATTTTTAGTAGAAACATTTTGCCATGTTGGTCAGGCTGGTCTTGAACTCCTGACCTCAAGTGATCTGCCCGCTTCAGCCTCCCAAAGTGCTGGGATTACAGGCCTGAGCCCCCGCATCCAGCCAATTCTGAAATATTTTTAATATGTCATGTTTTAAAAGATGGAAGAAGTAGTCAAAGTTAAAGTTAAGAAAAATTAGAATAAAAGTATGCATAGTGTCAAGATGCACGTGTTAGGCCAACCTGGGGGATACCCTTATTATATAACAGGCTTTCATTCTTTCATTGACTTTAGGGGTCTGGTTTGCTCAGAAAATACGTTGATATCCACGACTAAGTTTAAATTATAGATTACTGGTGTAAAAACAGAAACCAATAAGATCTGCAGCGTGACTCTGGCTGCCAGTGAGCATGAACTAGTACTCCCTTCTAGTGGTTTTATTAAAAGTATTTGAAACTGGCCAAAGAGCCTTACTTCTAATTTTTCTACAATGTTAACAATACATTCTATTTTAAGTACCACCTGTGAGGAAGTACTTATAGGTAAAACCACAGCACATGTGAAAAATATAGACTAATTTCTGTGTGTAAATATTACCATATTAGGTTTAACTACAAAGTTTAATTTATCTATATCTATAAGATCGCTAGGAAAGGAGGAGTCAAAATGTATGGAAATAAAACATGCAAATATCTTTGTCAAATATGAAGATATATTGGAATCTGAGATGATGACACAAGTTCAAAATGCAAGTTAGTCTAGGCATAGTATGATCAATATTAATCGTTACTTCTATTCCATTTTTTCTATAAAAGATACACAAATAAGTGAACACTGCCACTTCAGAAAAATAAAGATGAAGTCAAAAGGGAAAGGTATAACTAAAATAATGTTTATATCCTATCCAACATTTATCAGTTATAAATGAAGTGAGAAGGATTGGAGATTTGAAAGTACAGTATTATAAATATCTTTGATGACTTACAGTATAGAAATCTAATGCATTTTAAATACAGATTTAACTGTCAATGAAGTGAAAAAATAAGGCAGCAAGATGCATTACTTACTCTCTTAGAACTGCATACCATATTGGCACTGGCAACAAACCATATACGTAATATGTCCAGGGACAGGCTTGAATCAGCAGAAAAAATGCTACTAAAATGCCAATAGCTACAAAACTGCATGGCAGGAGATGGCTTGGTTTCTGAAAAATCAAACAAAACATTGAAATACTTCCAAACCAATGGTAATTGATAGGTTTTAAAAGAGATTTTATAAAGTGAAGAAAACCTATGACTTTCTTTCAATGGTTATACAACTAGATAATTAATCAAAGAGCTGCATTAAGACAAGGAAAAATATGTTATTTAAGGAGCATATTAGAAAGGAAAAACCTAGATAACCTGGAATTGTTGCAATTAAGCAATTCTAAACTTAAAAGTGACTATGGCCCTAAAGGTTGTTTGCAAGTAACTTGTTCAGAATTCTGAACATGTTTCCTTTTAGGAATACTTTTATAAATGTTGATTGAGTTCTCTGGATAACTTGCAAAAGCCTATTTAATCCGTAATAAGGTATGGGACTTAATTTTCATTTGGAACAATGTCCTATCTATTCAAGCTCCAACGTGACATGCTACCTAAGCTTCTCTCTCTATTGCCCACCAAATAGAAACTTCATTCACTCATATGCACTATTCCCAATCATCTGCCAAAAAAGAGAATTCATCAACGTAATTCACTAGTGATAGTCTCCATGGTGTAAGGGTCAGGGACTTTAAGTACAGGAGATTATCCTAGATAATCTGGGTGGGCCTGATTCAATCCATTGAAAGGCTTTAAGAGCAAAACTACAGGTTCCCTAAAGGAGAAATTTTACCTGTTGAGTGCAGCTTCAGCTCCTGCTGGCGAGTTCAGTCTGCCTTTCCTGACAGCCTGACCTGTGAACTTAGGACTTGCCTAACTAGGCCCCACAATCACATAAGCCAATTTCTTATACTACATCTCTTAATATATATTGCCTCCTGGTTCTATTTCTCTGGTTTTTATTAATTGACGTACCAACTCGTCACTAAATAAAGTATAAATGCTATAGTCCAGCATTTGAAGCCTTTGATTACTTCAGCCTAATCTATATTGTATTATTTCTTATCAGTCCCTCGAACAAACCTCCCACATTCTACACAAAGTGTTATTTTGAAGGAAGCATGGCGTAGAAAGAGAAAGAATTCAAGTATCAGAAAATGTGGGTTCTGTCATTTAAAACCCATGTGTCCTTGTGGAAAACATGTAATCTTTCTGAGCCTAAATCCTTCCATCTATATTATGAGAATCATAACCACCAATATTTAGGGTAGTGTTAAGCCTAACTAAATAACTTATGTAAAGCACCCAGGGCAGTCCCGGAACAGTGGGGCTCAATACGTATTACTATTATCCCAGCATAATAGTACATCTTCCCAAATCTGCCTCTGTTCATATCATTCAATTTGCTTTAATTCTCAACCTCTCCCTAGATTCTGACTATTAAACTCCCACCAAGACTTACTTTTTCCTGTTATTGACACCCTAAAGTCAGCTCTCATATTTAAAATGTGATAGTCTTTTTATTATCCCAAACACTTAGCACATCATCAAGTTTTCTTTTGTAGTCGAGTATAGATACAGTGACCTATGCCTGGTAAGGTGGTCATATGTGTACATCTCTTACCTACTTTATTAAATTCTAAACTCCTTGATGGCAGATTCTGAATCTTATATTTCTTTTATAGCCTATACAGCAAGCTTGTCCAGTCTGCAGCCCACAGGCCATGTGTAGCCCAGGACAGCTTTGAATGTGGTGCCAACACAAATTCATAAGCTTTCTTAGAACATTACGAGGTATTTTGTAAATTTTTTTTAAGCTCATCAGCTATTACTAGTGTATTTTATGTGTGGCCCAGGACAATTCTTTTTCCAATGTGGCTTAGGGTAGTTAAAAGATTGGACACCCTTGCCAGCATCTAGCATTGTACCATACACTCAATTAAATATTGGCTGTATTATCAGATTAATGAATAAAGAACTATCAGCTATGAAATCTTGTTAACATATCAATATAAAAACATTTTTTTTTCTCAATAAACTGAATATCAGGATAAACATGAAAAGGCAATCTCTGGGCCAAGACTGCTCTGGATTGAAGTCTCAGTCCCTCACATGCTAGCTGAGTCGCCTTTAATAAGTAACTTAATCCTCCTCAGCTTCAGCTTCCTTTTTTGTAAACATAAATTATATCTGCTACTAGCACTGTTATGAGTTCTAAGAATGCCTAGATATAATTCCCATTCCAGCCAATTTCACATACACTCAAATAATTAAAATTACTTGGGGGAAATTATTTAAGATACATTAAAGCATTATACAAAATTATAATAAACACTAATGGCCTTACTTCCATTACAGAATAATAAAATATAAAATTGGAAAAGTTACCACTGGAAATATCTGCAGACTATTATTAAAAATACACCACCAGGATATATTACTTTTTAGAGAACTTAAACATGGTAATAATCATTAAAGAGAATGAAGCAAAGGAAATGAAAGAGGCATATTCTCCCTGGTAAATGATAGTTAGAAATATATTTTAAAAGAGTAAAGTGTTTTAATGTAGCAAAACCATATATGTACTGTTACATTGTCTCAGCAATATGAAGTATCATTAAAGAGATTTTTTTAATTTTTATTTTTTCACTGAAAGCATAAAGTAGGAACAAATTCTTAAAATAAGAATACATGGAAAGGTCTAGAAATCTGCATTTTGAGAAACTTCAGAAAGTTAAAAGAAGGTAACAGTAATTTAAAAATGTATACATCATTTAAGAAGAAACACTATGAGCAAATAATTTTATTGCTTTTTAGCTCCTAAACTTTTAATATCAAATAAAATTAAATACATTGTTTTGAAGTAGTTTTCTGACCACTTGTACTAGAAAGATATGGAATACTTATAAAATGCTAGTTATAAAATAAAACAGAAGATCAACACCATTAATAACATAGGAGCACTTAAATTACTTACACCTCTATCTTTATACCTTTCTTAAGTTATAGGATCATTATTATCAATATATCTTTTTCTCAACTGAAGAAACAGAGATAACTGAGGAAAAATCCAATACAATAAAAGCAAATGAAAGATAAACAAGAGTTATCTTAGAACAAGGACTTGCACATCCTATAAACTCATTACACTGGATTCAGTACTAGTGATTTTATATCATCATCTGAATCTTCACATTTTCTAAACGTACCTTAACTTCTTTACTAACACCTTTTATAAGGTTGGAATGAGACTTGATGATCAACAAAGAAGCATAAGATATCCATCCCACAAAACCAATAACAACATTGATGCCCAAAAAGAATCTGTCATATGTGTGATAATAGGACAATCCTTTCAACGCTAGATGAATTAGCTCCTTGCAAAGGGAGACCTATGGAGAAAAAACATATATAACTTGCTAACAGAAAGAATAAGAAAACCTACATTTTAAAGAAAGGAAACTTTTAAATTCCTAACAGCCAAACCGTTGTATTAAAATTAGTGAATAACTGTAGATGATGGATTAAGAATAGATTTTAATTGTTCGAGGATCTTCTTTTAAAGTATGAGAAAAATTCAGAATAAAATGAACTTTTTAATCTTAGTAAGAAAGGGCATTTTAAATGTAAACTATTTGTGTTGTATATGTGTGTTTGTGGAAATGATCTTCAGATAACTCATAAAAGAAATGAAGGCTCTCTAATGTAGGTCCCAAACAATGATGATGGCCATATTTATAATTTTTACTTTCTCATATCAGTTATAAAACATCATTAAGTAGCTTAATATTTTACAGGAGAAGAATAGCTTATCATTTTAAAACCATCAAAAAAAAGCATTAGAAATGCATGAATTGGCAATTATTTAGGCAATTTTAGAAATGAAAACAGAATTCTTTTCTACTTTAAAATTAAATGACCATTTAACAAAGAAAAATTAATGAAAAACATAGTGAGATAGGAGTTTGGAACAGAGTCCAAGTTTCAGTATGAATCATTAGACTTTTAATAATGTATAGATAATTCTGAGTGGCAAACATATAGTGTTCTAAAGTATTACACATAAGTAGGGTGACAAAAACTTGGCATCTATTTTCTCATTTTAAAAAATGGTAATAGTTCATTTCTAATGCTAACCTAAAAAAATGTGGGCTGGGTGCAGTGGCTCACGTCTGTAATCCCAGCACTTTGGGAAGCCAAGGCAGATGGATCACCTGATGTCAGAAGTTTGAGACCAGCCTGGCCAACATGACAAAACCCCATCTCTACTAAATACACAAAAACTAGGTGGGCGTCGTAGCGCATGCCTGTAATCCCAGCTACTCAGGAGGCTGAGGTAGGATTGCTTGAACCTGGGAGGCGGAGCTTGCAGTGAGCCGAGACTGCGCCACTGCACTCCAGCCTGGGCGGCAGTAACTCCATCTCCAAAAAAATTTTTTTTACCCATAATATTAGCTGAAAAAAGAGAGAGATGTCCATTGCTAAAGCAGCTACTCAGGAAATGCAATCCTTCCTTGAGGGCTCAAGAAAGCTCCCTGGCCTGTCTACTTTGCTCTCTATTGCCATATTTTTCTCCTCCCCATTCCCAAAATGATAATCAGCTATTTATGTCTATAAGGCCAGTATACTTACCACTTCGTCAAACTTTCTGTGTTTTATATAAGATCTTGCTTTTCTTAAAATATTGAACTGTTTGGAATCAGAAAGCAGTCTATAAAAAAAAAAAAAAAGAAAAGGTTTAAAGGGTTTTCTCATTCCAAGTATATATTTCTTTTCTTTCCCTTAATTAAAAAAGACAGTGAAAATTACAAAACAACAAACAAAACAAAACAAAAATCAAAGAAAAAAACCCGAATTGTATTGCTGTAGGTTCTCTGAAGTCTTCTAGAAATAGCTTACAGTTAAATTTGGTTTTCTTGACTCAAAGTTTCAAATGCCAAACTACATTTATGAAAGTCAAATAATCCATCATTCTGAAGAAATGTAATACTCTGGCTAACAAAGAAATTCTGATTAAATGGAAGTAATTAACAGAACACCAAATGTATGGCATGAGCTCTGCCACTCAGTTGTCCTGTGCTCACGACAGACTTCACATGATTGAGGACAGATCCATCAATGTACTTTTTATCCCTGAGCCAAACACGGCCTGAGAATTCTCATTATCAAAGAGCTCCAGTCAGAGCCTAACCATCACTGGAAGTTAACGAATAATTTGAACCCATTTGCTATTTTTATACTATATCGTATACCTTCTTCGTTCCTCTTTCATTTCTCTTTCCACCATTTCCCTGTCCTGTTTTACCACAGTAGAAACGTTAAATACACAAGAGAAATACTCCTAAAAAATACTGCATAACCCGAAACTATATAAAACAAAAGTCATTAAGTTTATGGAATGTAGAAATTGAGGAAATATAACCAGAATTTAATTGCCTTAATGAAATAAATCAATACATTTAAATTCAAATTTGAATATATGCTGCTTAACTAAAACCTACATGTCTAAAATGAATGCCTTTACATTTTAAAAATGCATGCAAAGTTATTTAAGGCTATATTAGGTTGGATCACGTGACATTGATGTTTCATAGGCCAAAAACTACTAAATTAAATATTGGCAATTGCACACGGGTCAACATAATATAATCACTTATCTTCTTTCTACTTGGCTCAAGCAGTCTCTGAAGAGATAGGACTGAGACTTGTACAAAGTAAATCTTTTAAGCAGTAATTATTAATTTGGGAGGGGGAAGGTCAGAGACTTCTTTCAGAATCTGAAACTCTTGTCTAGAAAATGTACATAATCCAAAATTTAAAATATAATTTCAGAAAATTCATAAACCCAGAAGCTTATCTATGAACTCCCTCAGAGTTCCATGGGATACTCTGATTAAGCATCTGTGCTTTGGCTTGGGACAGTGGCTCACGCTTGTAGTCCCAGCACTTTGGGGGACCGAGGTAGGAGGATCACTAGAGGTCAGGCGTTCGAGACCAGCTTGGGCAACAAAGTAAGACCTAATTTCTACAAAAAATAAAAAAAGGATCTGTGCCTACTCTAAGAGCTCCCAGATATTCCAAGTCATGGGAACCCAACCACCCTGGGTTCTCATGTTGCACACTGCAGAAAAATTCCCCACCACTGGACTCACTGGGATTTGGAGGGAAAAGGTGCCAGGAGGCAAAAACACATGAAAAAAAAAAACCAAGTTACTTTAAAATGTTGCTTTGATCCAGTTCTCTGTCCCTTCAGACACCATACATCTTGAAGTGTTTTCCCAGAAGCCTTAGTATAGCAATTACTGTGCCAAAGTGCACAGGCATTTTTTGGAAGGCTATATCTAAGTTGAGTTTCCCAAATTTCCATAAAAGCTTTCTAGTTGACCTCCTTCTTCTTGCTCTGATCCACTCAGCTTCCTAAAATACTGATTGCATCCTCTCACTTACAATTGATATGGGCATCTCACGGTCTACTTCATCAATTCTAATCTTCCTGGGCATCTCACGGTCTACTTCATCAATTCTAATCTTCCTGGACTACTGATGACCCTCTGCCGCTACTTCACTTAATTTCCCATTATCGCAAATGTGTACCCTCAGCTGCATAATGGTGAAACTCTTCAAGCTTCACCTATCTGGAATCGTAAAGATCTTCCCCTCTTTGCTTTCCAAAATCAAATATTCACCATCCTTTATGGTCCACTCCAAATCTCACTTCACATCATTAGCACTTCAGTTAGTGATCTAATGATCAGTTTATTTCTCTTCAATTAAATTTTAACCTCCACGTGGGCCAAGGTAATGTCTTATATTCCATTAATATCCACAATAATACTTAGCAAAGTGCTAAAGCACATAAAATGAATCAATAAATCTTGATTACAATGCTATCAAAATATTGCAGACCTAAAAAAGGAAGAAAAATAAGAGACTAACATACATTGCCATTTGTAATGTACCTAAAATTTTAAATAAAAAGAAAGAAAAAAAGCTTGTTTGAAGTTAAATTATTTAAGCTAATTTAACAGACATTCTGTTAAGTGAAGTCTTATGAAGAATGAGAGAAAAAAAATCTTAAGGAGAAATATTTACATTACATATTATGCTATGTTATATTATATTGGAAGTACTAAGGTAAAGAAACAGGAGTCAGGGTAATTTGTAATTTTTCCTAAATGCACTATTTATAAACCTTGGGACATGCCAAAGGTAGCATATCAAAGATTTGCAATATATCTGGAATTCACCAAAATGTTCTACACAAGCCTCACTGTATCACCATGACATCAAAGACTCTCATACACTTGTCCCCAAATATGTTTTCTGTTTAGTTTTCCATCAAACTGAGAGGGTATATAAAGTAAATTTTCTTGGTATCACATACTTTAAACATAAAGAGGTTTTGTAAGAAATATAAAGTCTAGAATATAGAGTACAATACGTTCAGATTTACGTAAGCAAAACCAAATAACAACAAAATTAATGGGGGTTGGCAGGGGAGTAATTAAAAGAATGCCATATATGAACTAAAATGAACAAGGGAGATCTACACATGTAAACATGGATAAATCCTGAAAACCAAACTAAATAGAAAAAAGAATTGTTAAATAAAATAGATTTTTAAAATAGGGATTCAAGCGTATTACACCATTTTATTCCCCCAACCCCCCCAAAAAAAGAATCTAAATATGGTAAAATGTTAACATTTTCTTAAACCTGAGTTGTGGGTAGAAAAATTTTTATTATATCCTCTATTCTTTTCAGCATGTTTGAAATATTTTATAAATAAAACTTGAAATATAACAAGAAGGATATACATATATGATGTATACTTATGTATTCTTATGTACTTCATCAATTATATTCTATCAATTCTTATCTACTTCATCAAAGCTATTTTTTTTAGCTCCCACATATGAGTGAGAACATGTAAAATTTGTCTTCTGTGTCGCTCTTATTTCACTTAACATAATGATCTCCAGTTCCACCCATGTTGCTGCAATGACAGGATTTCATTCTTTTTTATGAATGAATAATATTGCATCATGTATATATACCATATTTTCTTTATCCCTTAATCCACTGATGGGCACTTGGATCGATTCCATATTTTAGCTACTGTAAAGTAGTACTGCAATAAACATGGAAGCGCAGATTATCTTTTCAATATATTGATTTCCTTTCTTTTGGATATTATTGGATATTATTCAGACTGTATTCTTGTACACATGTATATGTGATATATATATAGATACATAATAAACTGCAATTTTGCCTCCAAAGGAAAAGACTATAAGACTGGAACACAGGAGGAAAAGTGACTTTTTATTATTGTTTGTATAAATTTTATTGTGTTCATGCATTACTTGTTCATCAACACTTTAAAATAAAATGACTAAAACACTAAGATTTAACCATAGCTTCTGGTTATGCCAGAGAAGCTTTGGGCATAGCAATGCTCCCACCAAGAACAACTAGAAAGCCCAATAAAATAAATCTGAAGGTACCAAAACAATCAAGTAATGAAAGGCTAAGATTCTAGAGAGAAGGAAACCACAGGGAAGTAATCCAAAATTCTCCAAACTGTAACTCTGATTCTGAGGGAATCTACCATTCTTATTCTTGGCACAAAGCAAAAGGCTGAGAATTAGGGAATATAGTTGCTGCCAGGAAGTAGAGAATCCAAGAGTCTCTGGCAATCTTGGAGGACTGGTGAGATAAAAATTAAAGTTTTTAGCTGCCAATGCAGCCAGAACTTGAGGACCTAAAAAGGAAGAAAAATAAGAAAATAATGTACATTTTCATTGTGGATTTTTAAAAAAAGACATTTTAAAAGTGCATCTGGAATTTTAAACTAACACATATTCTGAGGTGAAATCTTAAGAAGAGTGAGAGAAAGAGCTTTTATAAGAAAGAAATACTGTGTTATATTATATTATTTGGAAAACTCAGGTAAAGAAAGAAAGGCCAAGTCTTGGTGAGAAAAGAGGTGGAAAAAAAAGGTAAGTCTGACACTCATTTGTGTAGAACAAGAGGACAAGAAGCTAAGAAGAATGCTCCTGAAAAGCAGACAGAAGTTTTGGTAGTCTCAAGATGTACAAGAGACAAAAATTGGTATTCAGTGACCACCAGAGAAGAAAGGTTCTAGATAATACAAGGTCTGTATTGGGATCCCTGAGATACTACACTCTAAGAACTGAGATAAACCAGAGATCAAAGGAGGCTTAAAATTGCAGCACAGCCTTGAGTCAGCCACTACTCTTTGCGGCCATCAGGGGATAAGGTAAAATCTCTCTGGAGAAAAATGAAATAATCCAGAGATTCTAAAACTTTTAATATATAAAGATAAGCATTCATTTAAAAACTACCAGACTTAATAAACAAGACCAACTGAAAAAAAAGAATAGAAACAAACTCACAAATGATTTAGTTATTGGCATTATCAGGTACAGATGCTAAAATAATTATGGTTACTATGTCAAGAAGACAAGACAGAAAATTGTACCAAAGAACAGAACCTATTTTTTTTTTTAATAATCAAAATGGAAGTTCTAGAATTTAAAAACATGTAACAACCGAAATTAAGAATTCAATAACAGCAATCTAGACACAGCAGAAGAGAAATCTGGTGTAACTGATGACAGAATCAGTAGAAAATATCTTGCCTGGGCTGGGCGCGGTAGCTCACACCTGTAATCCCAACACTTTGGG